TTATACATTTATATATATATATATGTTTTTTTGAAATGTATTTTTTAATTTTTAATATATTATGTATTTTATATATTGTTATTTGTTTTAATTATATTATATTTTATTTAGCTTCCTTTGTAGCTTTACCAAAGGCCCCATCCAACCGAAGAGTCGGCAGACCCCAAAACATGGGACCATTGAAAGTATGAAACTAGCGTGGAACGTTCTGAAGGCTAATGGTGACGGACTACCAAATCTCAATTTTGATCATCGAACCCTAGTCATTCGCGAAGCGCTCATCGATGCAAGGGCTTATAAACCCTCTTTCAATGATTCAACTGATCACAAATTTTGGTGTGATCGAACTCTTTTTGAAAGCTACCCTGTGTGAACGAACTCTGTGTGAAACATCTGTGCGTGATGCGCCAGGCACAGAATCAAATACTATTTGCCAATACTCCTTTGTAGAACGATACGTGCGCATAAACTCCTAATTAACAGAGTCTTGTACAGATCGCCTGTTTTGAATTTCACCTTTGCGTAGACTGATTCTCTTTTCGCCTGATTTTGCTTTTCCATAATCCTTCGAACAGTAGGGTACGGCCAACGGCCGCAAGTCGCGAACTAAAACAGTTCTGGCCAAAACCAAATATATAATATATACTTTTAAAGTTTTGAATACATCTATATTTAATATTTACTATATTATATATATATACATATTATTTTTTATATTTTTCAATATATTAAGATATTTAGATTATAGATTTTATATTGTAATCAATATTTTTACCTTTTATTTTTATTTTATATTATATTATGCGGTATTTTACTATTTTATTTTAATGTATTTTAATAGTTTTACTTCATGAATTTTATTGTAAAATTCTATATTATATTTTTTTACTATACCATTTTTTATATTATACTATATGTTTTTATTGCATCATTTTTTCGCATGATATTGTTTTATATTTGTATTTTTGTTTGTCATATTATATTTTTTGATACGTTAAATTAAATGTTCTATTATATTATTTTGTGTCTTTTAATACACTATATTATATTATGTTAGTTTTTAATTATACATTAAGTAACTTATATGCAATTTATTACTTTTTGTTATATTATATAGTTGTTCAATTTTCTATTTGATTTTAGTTTAATTTGGTATATTTTAGTTTATTATTTTTGATATTTTGTTGTTTTTTAATTTATTATTTTTTATTATAAGTTTTTTTGTTATATCATATTATATTATAGTATATTGTAGATCTTTATTTTTTTTTCTGTTGGTATCATTCCTTTTTTATAATACCAATATATGCTTTGAATTTTGCCAACTGCAGGAACCATTTTCCCAATCATTCGACACACAGACACATTCTCTGTTGGCACTGGATGAGGCTGGAATTTGTCCAAAGCTCAGCGGGACTGACGGAGGGGAAGGACATTGGAAGATCATGAGCAACTCTGAGGTGCTCAGCTCGTGGCTGATCGCCTGGGGGAAATCGGACCCTTCCAGGCAGCTATTGCTCTAACAGCCAGAAACTCAGTAAAGACTCGTCTATCATATTTATATAATATTTATATAATATATTCAAAAAATAGTGTATATATATAGTATATACTGTATACATTCCAATCTAATATATAATATATCATTGTCAATCATTTTAGATCTACGTAATCAATGCTACCACCAGTGTGTAGATTTGCACTGCTAGCTAGTGCATATGTAGATGTGCACCGTGTTCTTTTGTGTATCCTCCTCTTATGTATCCTTGTCCTTTGCAGTTTGCTTCGCAATTTCGTCTCTTCAGGATCTAGAATGCAAACACAACGATTCAAGTTATCTTGAATGAATACCAAACGAACCACCAGTATTAGGATATCTTAGATAGCTGCCAGAAAGCATATTGTAGTGGCCTTCAGCTGCCGCCTCCTGCCGTTGATGCTCTTGAGTGCTTGGAAAAGACTCCTTTGAGATCCCCAAAGACAATGACAAGCTACCAAGCAGATACTTATGCAGCAGAAATTGCAAACCCCCACTTCGCAGCCAAGTATAAGTCAACTCAAGCAAGATTGCTTCAATTTCAAACGTGTGTTTCCCAAGCACAGTGCGCAGCATGTTCAGATTGATGTTTCTTGGTTACTTGATAATTCCTTTATTACTCAAATATTGATGATGACTGATTCCGCAGAGAAAGTCACATGTTGGATTTGAATAGAAACCATTGTAGACCATCAGTGCATCCATGCTCGCGCTCAGGTCTTGGCACTCTTCTTCGTCGTCTTCTGGGAAGAGAACTATGGAAGCAGCGATGAAGAGGCACATTGTGACACATTGGGTCTGCCTGATTTCCCATCAGATATGGCCGATAATGATAGGGCCCAATAGCTTGTGAAAAGAAGATCAAAGACTGGCCCAAAAGTACTTTGGACAGATCACCCTCAAGCGGTGACAATGCTCCCCCGTTTGAATCGGAGAAGGTATGACGGATGACAGACGGCCTAGGTTTGCGCCACATGTGACAATGCTTTTTGAATTATTTTGCGATATTTTGCACAGTCAACGGCCTAGGCCTAAGTCTGTCTACCTGACTCTGACAGCTTTTGTTAAATCAGAATCCTGCCTTTGGATTCCGACACAGGGCAAGAAGAAAGAGTCTGAGAGCTCAACAAACGCAGCAGTGGCTTTCAAGGCACCAGCTTTCTGGAATAAATAATATTTCAACTGTTGTGTGGTTGAGCAACATGTTGGGTTTGGCGCCTTCATCAGGAGAATGTTGTGTAGTGTAGTACTTGTGTTTGCTTTCCTCGTTTCGCTAGGTGGTACCAGTAGACAAGTCGGTTTGAGAAAGGATGGAGCCTGTCCAACACTCACCAGTTGTGGGCACGGTTCCACCACAGCCTTGGCAGCTTGTGGTCCTGCAAAAGCATCACGCTGCCAGGCCATAGTGTCCGACAGGAAGATTTTCTTGACTGGCCTCGTGAACTCCTTGTTTGAAGGGTCCATGTGCGCCGGGGTCAACTTGGTACAACTCCTTGAGAAGCTGCGGGACAAGTAGGCATGGAGGCGCAAACCAATGCAAATTCTCTAACAGACAAGCCAATCTCAGGATAGATATGACAAATGATAAACATGATTTATTTACAGATATGATATGATGACCAAAGGAAGTTTAGTTAGAAAACTTCCGAGTTACGGACGATTGTCATGGCCAGCATTCTCACCATCATGTCAACCACATCATCATGTCAACCAAATGAGTTGGGAAGTGTAACAGTTCGGGAACGCGTGATTTCAGGCTTGAAAGACTCTCGGGCGCGAAACCTTGTGTTTTTCGGGTAAAGTGGCTTCCGTGCTCGCCTAAGTAGGCTCTCTGTTTCCGCGGGTGCCAGCCTCGATCTGCAAAAGTTGTGGACGAAAAGTGCACAGGACTGTAGCGAGAACTCGATTTCACATAAAAATTGTAAAAGCTGAGGCGTTCAGAGCTCTTTTGGAAGATGGGGTTCTAGAAATGCGCACGAGACTTTAGCGAGAGCTCGATTTCACATGAAAATCGTAAAAAAATGCGGGTTGGAGCACTTTTGGAAGATGAGGCCGGCAAAATGTGCACGAGACCGTAGTGAGAGCTCGATTTCACATAAAAATCGTTAAACAAAAACTGAGGGTCTTGGAGCAGCTCTGGATTTGTGTGGTCGAGTCCCCACGCGACTGTTGAGCGCGACCGTTGGTCGATTTGGTGCGACGCTCCTGCTTTGCGGGTTTGCAAGCGGCTGTGACAAAACGCATTGGCACGGCTGCAAACAAGACATGACCGATGCTGCGACGCTCCTGGCTAAACGCATTGTAACAGCTGCTACTCATGGTGCTATGCGGAATTGCAGCTAGAGGTTGCTAAACGCATTGCTACAGCCGCATGAACCGAAGAATTGGGTTGCAGAAGCTACAAAGAGGTAGCTGGGAGGCAGCTCAGAGCACAAATAGCCCAGACAAGTGGCTACTCAGAGAAGAAGTAGCTGAGAGAAGAGGTGCCTCAGCGAAGAGGTCGCTCAGTGAAGAAGTAGCTCAACAAAGAAAAGTAGCTCGCCCATCCATCCACCATTTATCCATCCCTTGGTTCGTTGGTTCCTAAATTCATTGATTCATGGATTTGTTGATTCAATGGTTCATTTCCCCATTGATTCACTGAGTCTTTGCTAATTGAACCGTTCATCCATTCATTCATTCGTTCATTCATTCGTTCATTCATTCACTCACTCATTCATTCATTCATTCATTCGTTCATTCATTCATTCATTCACTCACTCATTCATTGATTCATTCATTCATTCATTCAGTCAGTCAGTCATTCATTCCATTCCATTCCATTCCATTCCATTCCATTCCATTCCATTCCATTCCATTCCATTCCATTCATGTCCATTTCCATGTCCATTTCCATGTCCATTTCCATGTCCATTTCCATGTCCATTTCCATTCCATGCCATTCCATTCCATGTTCATTCCATCCATTCCATTCCATTCATGTCCATTTCCATGTCCATTTCCATGTCCATTTCCATTCCATTTCCATTCCATTTCCATTCCATGTCCATTCCACTTCCCTTCCATTTCCATTCCATGTTCATTCCATTCCGTTCCGTTCCAGTCCACTCCACTCACCTCCACTCCACTCATTCATTCATGCATGCGTGCATTCATTCCTTCCTTCATTCCTTTCTTTCATTCATTCATTCGTTCATTCATTCATTCATTGATTGATTCGTTCATTCGTTCATTCATTTGTTCATTCATTCATTCATTCGTTCATTCATTCATTCATTCAGTCAGTCAGTCAGTCAGTCACTCATTCATTCGTTCATTCATTCATTCGTTCATTCATTCATTCATTCTTTCTTTCTAATTTTTCATTTTCATTTTCATTTCATTTGATTGCCTTTTCATGTTCATTTCATTTTCATTCCATTTCATTTCATGTTCATTTCATTTTCATTCATTATTTTCATTCATTTCATTCTTTTCATTTCATTTCATTCATTTGGTTTCATTCATTTGATTTCATTCATTTGACTTCACTCATTTGATTTCATTCATTTCTTTCATTTCGTTTCATTCTTGTCATTTATTTCATTTCAACCATTTCATTTCATTCATGTCAATTCATTCATTTCATTTCAAGTCATTCATTTCATTCATTCATTCATCCATCCATCCATCCTTGCATGCATGCATTCATTCTTTCACGCATGCTTGCATGCATTCATTCTTTCCTTCATTCCTTTCATTCATTCATTCGTTCGTTCGTTCGTTCGTTCATTCATTCATTCATTCATTCGTTCATTCGTTCATTCATTCATTCCTTCATCCGTTCGTTCGTTCGTTCGTTCGTTCATTCATTCATTCATTCATTCGTTCATTCGTTCATTCGTTCATTCGTTCATTCGTTCATTCGTTCATTCGTTCCTTCGTGCATTCCTTCGTTCGTTCGTTCGTTCTTTCGTTCTTTCGTTCGTTCTTTCGTTCTTTCGTTCGTTCTTTCGTGCGTTCATTCATTCATTCATTCCTTCTTTCCTTCCTTCATTCATTCATTCATTCATTGATTCATTCATTCATTCCTTCCTACATTCCTTTCTTTCATTCATTCATTCATTCATTCATTCCTTCTTTCCTTCCTTCATTCATTCATTCATTCATTGATTCATTCATTCATTCATTCATTCCTTCCTACATTCCTTTCTTTCATTCATTCATTCATTCGTTCGTTCATTCATTCATTCATTCTTTCATTCATTCATTCATTCATTCGTTCATTCATTCATTCATTCAGTCATTCTTTAATTCTTTCATTCTTTCATTGTTTCATTCATTCATTCATTCATTCATTCGTTCATTCATTCATTCGTTCATTCATTCATTCATTCGTTCATTCATTCATTCATTCATTCAATCATTCAGTCAGTCACTCGTTCATTCATTCATTCATTCGTTCATTCATTCATTCATTCAGTCAGTCAGTCACTCATTCATTCGTTCATTCATTCATTCGTTCATTCATTCATTCATTCATTCATTCAAGCTACAAAGTGTCAAATTTGGAGGAAGTCTCGCACGAAATGCTCGTTTTGGTGCTCCCACGTGTCTCGTCTCGAGTCTCTGGTTTTCCTGTGGCCTTATGGGGGAAGCTGCAAAACCTCTCCTTTTCGAAGGTTTCCAAGCAGATTGTCATGTCGTTTTGCCTGGCAGGAGCGGCAACCTGTTTGATAACGTGTCGAAAGTCGTTTTGTGTGGCAGGCGCAATACTGTTGTGTCGGTTTCACAAGATGAGTTGCAGTTTTTCGTGGCAGGCGCAGCCAGCATTTTGGAGATCTCAATCGTCATTTTGTGCAGCAACGAGCATTTCAGACGTGTGGCATCGCATGCTCTACACTCCACACTCTACACTCCACACTCCACATTTTACACTCCACATTCCACACTTAACACTTTACACTCCACACTCTAAAATCCACACTCCACACTCTACACTCCACACTTTACACTGCACACTCCACACTTTACACTCCGCGCTTTACACTTGACACTTTACACTCTACACTCCACACTCCACACTCTACACTCCACACTCCACACTTCACACTCCACACTTTACACTCTACACTCCACACTTTACACTGTACACTCCACACTTTACACTCCACGCTTTACACTTGACACTCTACACTCTACACTCCACACTCCACACTCTACACTCCACACTCCACACTTTACACTCCACACTCTACACTCTACACTCTACACTTTTCACTCCACTCTACACTCCACACTCTACACTCCACACTTTACACTTTACACTCCACACTTTACACTTTACACTCCACACTTTACACTCCACGCTTTACACTTGACACTCCACACTCCTTACTTTTCACTCCACGCTCCACACTCCACACTCTACACTCCACACTCCGCACTTTACAGTCCACACTCTACACTTTACACTCTACACTTTACACTCCACACTCGACACTCCACACTCTACACTCCACTCTACACTCCACACTCTACACTCCACACTCCACATTTTACACTCCACATTCCACACTTAACACTTTACACTCCACACTCTAAAATCCACACTCCACACTCTACACTCCACACTTTACACTGTACACTCCACACTTTACACTCCGCGCTTTACACTTGACACTTTACACTCTACACTCCACATTTTACACTCCACATTCCACACTTAACACTTCACACTCCACACTTTACACTCTACACTCCACACTTTACACTGTACACTCCACACTTTACACTCCACGCTTTACACTTGACACTTTACACTCTACACTCCACACTCCACACTCTACACTCCACACTTTACACTCCACACTCTACACTCTACACTTTTCACTCCACACTTTACACTCCACACTCTACACTCCACTCTACACTCCACACTCTACACTCCACACTTTACACTTTACACTCCACACTTTACACTCCACGCTTTACACTTGACACTCCACACTCCTTACTTTTCACTCCACGCTCCACACTCCACACTCTACACTCCACACTCCGCACTTTACAGTCCACACTCTACACTTTACACTCTACACTTTACACTCCACACTCGACACTCTACACTTTACACTCCACACTCGACACTCTACACTTTGCACTCCACACTTTACACTCCACACTTTACAATCCACACTTTACTCCGCACTGTACACTCCACACTCCCCTCTTTACACTCCACACTCCACACTTTACACTCCGCACTTTACTCTCCACACTTTACACTCTACACTTTACACTCTACACTTTACACTCTACACTTTACACTCCACACTCTACACTCCACACTCCACACTCTACACTCTACACTCCACACTCCACACTCTACACTACACTCTACACTTTACACTCTACACTCCACACTCTGCACTTTACACTCGACACTCCACACTCTACACTTTGCACTCCACACTCTACACTTTACACACTACACGCCACACACTACACTCCACACTCTGCACTCCACACTCCACACTCTTCAGTTTACGCTTTACGCACTCCACACTCTACACGCCACACTTTAGACTCCATACTCCTTACTTTTCACTCCACACTCCACACTCCACACTCCACACTTTCCACTCCACTCCAGACTTTACACTTTACACTCCACTCTACACTCCACACTCTACACTCCACACTTTACACTTTACACTCCACACTTTACACTCCACAGTTTACACTTTACACTTGACACTCCACACTTTGCACGCCACCTTCTTCCATATTCCACAGTCTACGGTGCACTGGTATGATAACAGTGGAAACATGTACAAGACTGTTCAAATAAACTGTTTCAGAAAAGTGTTCTGCGTGACTGCATATCCATGTGTTTCGACATCTGTACCATTCACATACGTGTGAGCATTCGGGTTCCTGGGCTGCATCTTGTTCATTTCATTTTCATGTCATTCCATTTCACGTTTTTCATTCATTTTATATGTTCTTTTCATACCATTCATTAATCTCCTTAAACTCATTCATTTCATTCATTCCATTCATGTCATTGATTTCATTCAGTTTGTTCATTTCATTCATGTCGTTCACTTCGTTCATGTAACTCATGTCTATGATAGCATTCTTTTTGTTCATTCACTCACTAATTTCGTTGATTCATTCATTCGCTCATTCCTTCATTCATTGATTCATTGGCTTGTTGCATAGTTCATTTCATTTCATTTCGTTTTCATTTGATTTCATTTCATTCATTCATTCATTCATTCATTCGTTCATTCATTCATTCATTCCTTCCATTCATTCATTCATTTATTTATTCATTCATTCATTCCTTCCATTCATTCATTCCATCCATCCATCCATTCATTCATTCGTTCCTTCGTTCGTTCGTTCGTTCATTCATTCATTCATTCATTCTTTAATTCTTTCATTCTTTCATTCTTTCATTCATTCAATCATTCATTCATTCATTCAATCGTTCATTCAGTCACTCATTCATTCATTCAGTCACTCATTCAGTCATTCATTCGTTCGTTCGGTCGTTCATTCATTCATTCATTCGTCCATTCATTCATTCATTCATTCAGTCACTCATTCATTCATTCGTTCATTCGTTCATTCATTCGTTCATTCGTTCATTCGTTCATTCATTCATTCATTCATTCTTTCATTCTTTCATTCTTTCATTCTTTCAATCTTTCATTCTTTCATTCTTTCATTCTTTCATTCATTCATTCATTCATTCAATCATTCAGTCAGTCCCTCATTCATTCATTCATTCCTTCCTTCCTACATTCATTCATTCATTCCTTCCTACATTCATTCATTCATTTATTCATTCATTCAGTCACTCATTCATTCATTTATTCATTCGTTCGTTCATTCATTCATTCGTTCATTCATTCATTCATTCATTCATTCGTTCATTCATTCATTCATTCATTCATTCACTGATTCATTGATTCATTTCATCAAATCACTGGTTGCTCGATTCTTTGGGTCACTGCTTCGTTGCTTCATTGGTTCTTTGCTTCATTGACTGACTGATTCACTTGGTTCATTGGTTCATTGATTCATTGGTTCATTCATTCAGTTGTGAACGGATTCTTTCATGACAGGTCAGTGGCATCTCAGCAACTATTTGCTCATTCGTTGGTGCACCTCACAATTTCAACACTTCATTGCTTCCGCATCGCAAAAATTGTCCTATGGGCCATTCATTTCCTATAGCCATGTCCTGTTTTTGAAACTTCCGCCCCGGCGTGTGCCGGGCACTACCTGGTATGACTAGAGGATATGATACCCATCAAGGCAAGGAAAAAGGTCCACATTCCGCCTGCTCTTGGGCCGAAAGGTACTCCTTTGTTTTCATGTGGGTTCCCAGCATGCTTCAGGCCTTGAATGGCAGGTGCCTAGCGGCCTAGCGGCAACGCTGATTTTTTTGTAATGTGGTCACACCGTACTGTCTCTTGTTGGCTGCAACAAAAATCGGTTTTGGTAGTTAGATCCTCTTCAGGTACCTTGACACTGCCAAAGTGAGAAACAACGGTAAAAACTGCAGCCAGAAACATGGTGTTCCAACGTTTGCCTGCGGTTTCTCGATTTTAACATGGATGGCCAGGGATTTCGCCATTGTCATCTTACCCTGGCCACTTACCCTAGTTGCCAACCAGGGGACGAGCTGAACAGGCCATTGCCAACGGGATTGGTTTTTTCCAGCTTCATGACTTGCATGTCGCAGGGAGCTCGGAACGCCAGATCAGCACACATAGCCTTCAGGAGATCCGATTTTGCCATATTTTGCCAGTGTTTTCGTCGCCCAAACTTGAGTCTCACCTTCGGAGGATATCAGACTGATATCAGGAAAATCAGAATCTCATATTGAAATGGTCAGCATATGTCGTTCGGGTTCTTCATGACTGGATTCTCAGGTTGGGTGGTTTGCTTTTCTCGCCGCATTTGCTGTTGGGCCTTTGCAGTGCCGAACAGCTTGCAGTGGGTGTTTTTCTTGTCGGAGCAACTAGGTTTCAATCATTTTCAATCTACTTTTGGACGCATGTGGACGCTAGTACTTTCTTGTGTATGTTTCTTTGAAAGGCATGACACTTGATTTGTACTTGTTATTGGTCTTTCCTTCCGCTTAGCTGAATAATTGAATCATTATTTGGCTTAAGCCGTTTGCGCCTTGCACCAAATAGAAGCCAAGGCAGCGGCACTAGCAGTCCCCGTCTTCTCCACCGCTTTGATGCCTGTGCTTCTGAGCTTCATTGTTTTTGAGTTGCTTGGCATCACCTGCCATTGGGAAGGGGCGATGGACTATGAAACCTTTCGATACCTTTGGGCACTTCCAGTTGTAAGTTGATGTAAGTTGTATCTCTTCATATCTTCCAAGTTTTTGTGCGGTGAATCACCAGAAATCCGGCGAACCAAGGACTTGCGTGGGCGTATTCTTTCCCTGCCTGGGCTTGCTGAGATCCAAGGCTTAAGAGCCCCTTCAGTTCCCTGTTGACGATGTTTCTTGATGTTTTTTGCAAATTGCCTGTTCTGTCACTTGCATCACAGGACAGGACTGGAATCAATGGATTCCTGCACAAATACATTTACATTCAGGTATTGGGTGTACGTACATGGATGTCTATATGGTGATCGATCTAAAGGTCCTTGTAAGGAGTTTTAATTGCGAAAGCCGTGCATGTTATGTTGGAAACCCTCGCGAAAGTTTTTTTTCGAGTTCGCGACAGTAACATTTTTTTCGCGAAAGTTTCGCGAAAGTTGGATATTATAATCATTATGTAAAGGGCTGCCACCCACTGCCGCCCGGGGTCCGGCAGGAGAAGGGCACTAGAGAATTTCGGTTTGGTTCTGGTTCAGTTCCCTGTGTGGTGGTGCTTGTGGACAATCACACCCTTCATAGGTAGCAGCCGAGCTTCCAAAGGCGAGGCTTCGCGACAGCCAAACGCCATGGTCCTGAAGCACATCCTTGCACCTGCCGTTGTCACTGCCTAATGATGCTTTTTGAAGTCTCAAGAAACAAGCTCCAAATGCAGTAGCCAAGCTTCCAAAAGTGAGGCTTTGCGAGAGCCAAGCACCAAGGCCCCTGGTGCTTGCTTTTCCTTCAATGCACCCCCTGCTGATGGCCGGGGTCTGTGAATAGGGATATTTCCGCGAAAGTTATGCGAAAGAGCGGGCGAAAGTCAAAGTGCATGTTGAAGGGGGTGGGCCAGTAAACCTTGCCAAACAAACCTAGTCAGCGACAATCTGCCCTGAGAAGGGATTCCGTGATGCTAGCTGCATGTTTAAAAGGCTATCAAGAAGTGATCCGTGATTCTCTGGCGTAATTTGGCAGGTGGTGAACGAATCTTCATAAGAGGTGTTGTTGGCCAACATGGGCCCCGCGAAAGATAAACATGGAGTTCGCGAAAGTTTCGCGAAAGTAATATTTTTATTCGCGAAGAATGGCCGTTCCCGGATAAAGGAATTTTGATCAAAACCCATATATCTATATATGATTATATATGTACTTGTATTTTTTGTGCGCATAGCAACTTAGCTGTATGTAGGCTCGTGCACATACACATCTACCGACACGTGTGCATATTTAAAACGTCGTAGCCAAAATCATTGTGTGTCCCCTCCAATCTGTGAATGTGATCAAGTAGCGTGCCAAACATGGGCTGGTGTTGAAAAGAACAAACAGGGCAAAGAAGGTAAAACAAAGGAGCAAAGAAGAAAGGACCTTATGTTTACAGGCTCTGTTCTGTCCATACACCTAAAATCAAGCTGGGTTAGACAGCTAGTGCCAGGTGATTCCAGATTCCATCCAGGGAAGCGTGATGAACATCTTCAGAGCCAGAGCTGCATGTTGATTTGGGACTGAGGATGTTGAAGAAACATGCGGATCACATGATATTGCAATGTATTGTAAAAAGTGTCAAGATGTGCAACGCGAATGGATGACATGCTTAGGATCGCCGATCCTGGGTTTGCTTGCAAGCTGCCAGGTTCCCCTGAACATTTTCGTGGTGATTGGAACAAAACTCACAGATGTGTATCCGCATTGGCCTCAATTGTTTCTGCAATGCATGAATCAAGGCGGACCAGCTGCAGACCAATTTCTTTGATGTTCTTCCTCCATCGTGTTCACTTCATTTAATAAATTCTTGCTCTCGCTCGCTTCACTAGAGGCCCCAAAAGCATGAGGATGCATGCATGTGTTGAAGGTTAGAATCAAATGACTGGACAATTTAAAACGACGTCACCGACGTTACCCCGAAATAACGACCTAGCCTCAGAAATAAGTTCATCACAAATACATCAATAAATAAATAAAATAAATAAAAAAATAATAAATAAATAAATAAAATAAACAAAATAAATAAAATAAATAAGATAAATAAAATAAATAAAATAAATAAAATAAATAAATGAATAACTGAATAAATAGATAAATAAATAAATAAATCTAATATAATATAATATAATATAATAAAATATAATATAATATAATATAATATAACATAATATAATATAATATAATATAATAATATATATATAATATAATATATATAATAATATAATATATATATATATAATATATATATATAGATGTATATGGTCTCGTGTTCCGTGTTCCTACCTCCCCCCCACAATGCATTGGCCCCAGATAGCACCCCCTTCCCTTCTATTTGCTATTGGCAGCATTTCTGAGGTCCAACCTCGCATTTGCTAGGTCTTTGCAGCATGTCTGACTACCAGCCTCACATTTACTAGGTACATGCTACATTTTAGACGACCTACGTAGCACACATACTCCCTTAGAGTACCTACGTGCTACCTATAGTCATATATACATGTGCTATGTATCTACTTCCTATTTACTACCTGTGTACTCTCACAACACTACATGTGTTTAACATATACCATACCTACCATACATTCCAATGATAATACATATCATACGAACTTTGACCATACATACCATACCTATCATACCTATCATACATACCACACATACCATACATATGAAACATAATTACCACACCTACCATACATACAATACCAAACATACATACCATACAGCAAACATTCCATACCCACCATAGTAACCATACATACCATACAGACCATACATACTGTCATATCAAACATACCATACCCAACAGACTTACATACCATACCTACCATCCATACAATACCAACCATGCCATACATACCATACCTGCCATACATACCAAACGTACCATACATTCCAAACATACCATACATACCATGCCAACCATACATGCCAAACATACCATACATATCAAACATACCGTACATCAGATAATTACATACCATACTCACCATACCCACCATGCCATATATATTGTCATACATACACTACACGCCCCCACACACACCGCACCACACACACCCCAGCACACCACAGGGGAAGGAGGGGGACAGTACTATGGCTGACCCATGACCATGGCCAGGGGGGAAGGAGGGTTGGAACGCTGGACCATATATAAGGTCCACCCGTCAGCCTAAAATGGGCGCGCGCAGCCCAGAGCCCCGAGTTTCAAAATAGGCAATTGATATTTTCAGCGTGCTCAGAAGCATGTTCCCTTACTTTCTAGCTCTTCTATGGGCAGCTACGGCTGGAAAACTCCTGTTCAGCACCGGTCTACAGCGGCAAAGTTTGGTTTGCAGCAAAAAACTCCTAGTTTGTCAAAATAGGAAACTGATCTTTCGGCGTGCTCAGAAGCAAGTTCCCTTACTTTCTAGTTTTTCTATGGGCAGCTACGGCTGGAAAACTCCTACAGCGGCAAAACTTGGTTTGCAGCCAAAAACTCCTAGTTACTAGTTTGTCAAAATTTGGAAAACGCATTTTTTGAAAGGTTTGGGGGTTGTTTCTTGACGAATATTAGGTTTGGGAGCTTCATACTGAAAGAAAAAATTGTGGGCACCGGGCTGGGTTCGGACCAGGGCAGGTTCCAGCCTCTGTGTGCTTCAAGCCCCCGGGCAGAAAAGCCGGGCGTTTGTCAGCTGGGAAGGTTTTTGGGGAAGAGGGCCAACTCAAACAGAAACGGGGGGCATAGAGTTTTCGGGGCTTAGGAATACCTAGTAACCCCGGAATATTTTTTCTACATGCCGCAACAGCATTCCCGTGTCCGGTTTCCTAATCCTAAAACATAGTTGTTTTTTCCTTGGTGCTGCTTTGATCGATGATTGATATCTGCTTCAGCGTACGAGCACTTCATTTATCTAAGTTTTTTTTTGACCGGCCACCGCTGCCAAAGCCAGCATCCAAACACGAAAAATATCCGTTTCAGCCTGCGGTTGTGTTTATTATGCAGAACATGGCCAGGATTCAGAAAATTAAGTCAGTCATCAAAGCAGTTCCTGATGTCGTATCAGGCCGACATAAAATATGTTTTTATTTCAGACGACGTCAATATTTCAGCCGTAAAATTATGTGAAATAAGCGACGACCAGCGAAATATTTTCAATTGTAAATGCAGCACAGCATCTGGTACAACAAAGTGTGATGATGTAATAGATTGAGGTTTTGCTCAAGCCGACTCAAGCCGTATCATGTTTTTTCGTCTCTTCATAGTTTTCGTGACATGTACTGCACAGTAGAAGCAAATAATTAATGCACAAGCAATACGGTATGTATTACGCGCCAAAGCTGTGCGATTGAGCCCCCCCTGCTCGATGGAAGGCTTCAAGGTGTGGCCATTCTTTGCTGAGAGACTTGAGAGTCACTGTCAGCCAGTCCTTGACTCCTGTGGTCAGCTGTGACATGAGAATCTTAGCCCTTCAGATGATTTCAGATGTATGATGCTTTTGGGAATGAAACTTGAACGCCAGCTTTGCTTTCCATAGACTAGATGTGTTGCCGCCATTTGGCATCGGTCCATGCTGCTGCAATCATCCACAATATTCCACAATTGTGAACCTGTTACTTTTATGCGAATTCTTCTCACATTGCTGCCAGAGGTGTGATGAAGAGCCATGCAGCTGCACTTGGCACCTCGGTTTTCAGGAGCCGGCCAGTTCATTGAAACTGGAGTTGCTTAGACTGCCAACACTAACAATCGGATACATATTCTAGATCCAAAACGAGACTGGAGGGGAGAAGTGTGCGCACATCATACACCAAAGAAAAAGTGGTATGTAATTCATGACCAGTTCAAACACTGTTCCTTTCTGGAACGCATCAGTGTTGGCCACGGAGTTTTTCTGAGATTGGGATGGAGTGCCAAAGACTACGATTTGGAACTTCCAGAGTGGAACCTGCCACGAGTGGGTGGAGCGAGCAGTCAAAGCAAACCTCCGGGCTTCCAGAGCAGCACGTCACCTAGCTGCAAAGCATTTCAAGATAATCGGCCAATGTCAGACAAATCATGCCACTGTTTTGCCACCTAGATTTGGTAAGTCTTTTTGAGTAGATACTGTGGTATTCCAAGCAATTAGCTCTTGGACAATCCCTAGACCAAATCAGAATGTTAATGTATATGATATATAAAGACTAGAGATAGAATGAGATAGATAGAGAGAGAGAGTGAGAGAATAAACATCCGCCAGCTTAGTTTATCTTAGTTTTGCCTGAAGCGATCCACGTATGAGAAAGCGAACACGATTGAGGAGAGGCAGAAGATGATCTTGCAGAAGCTGAACACCATGAAGAGGCCCATCATTGGGCTATGGTGAATGTTCCAAAGTAGGGTTGTGGGAATAGCTTCACCAGTGCATGTCAGAAAGTTATGTCCTTTGTGACAACTTCTGGGCAACCCTTACCACCAGGAATCCATTTGTTCACAGTGAATCCATCCAGTAAACTCAGTAAACAGCACACCTGAAGTATCTGAAGTCCACCACGGCGGACCATGTCAACCCACGGTACAAAACACTATAAAACCATTCACATCGCCAGAGGTAGCTCGAGCTGTCGCCCAAAAGGCCCAGAACGCCACTTGCTGAGCATTTGGTTCAAGATGCTGTGGCTGTGGCAATGTGGAGATTCACCCGATGCTACTGAGCCCATCTGAGCCCTTCAACTGAGTAACTGAGGTAATGCTGCAATCACAACAGGAATCACGGCATAGACAGTTTTGACTGGATCCCTTCAGATTTTGCAAGCCGGTTGACAGCTGATACTGTAGTAATTCTCCTATATCGATCTATTGGTCTTGCACTGAAGAACTCATGTTGCAGAGATTGACATCGACTGGAAGATGTTCAGCAGATCATTTGGGGATGTTTGAAATTTCCTTCAGGACGCGATCAGGAACACGCTGCAATCACCGTCGGTGAAGCCCTTGCTTCGCTTTTGCTCTAACCTTGCAAAGGCTGGAAGCAGCGTGACATGAAAGGACACACCATCGGAACCTGGAACTTGAGGTTCTCAAAAACAGAACAACTTTGTTTTCAATCAACTCCAACGCTATCTTTCTGGAGCCAACAAAGATAGATTTTAACACCTGCTGTTGGAAGGTTTCAAGGTTGGTAGCAGTTGATGTGAATTACTGCGATAGACATGCAGATAGGCAGTGATTTGTAGGGCCCTCGCCGTCTTCGCAGCCTAGAGTTGTAGCATGTCATCTAGTCACCTTCCAATGCTGCGGATTAGTCTGGGATACACTGCACCGATAGACTCAAAGAATCTAAACTTTTGTCATAGTGTGCATCCAAAGATACCTATCAAATCCTATCAACACAAAGTTGTGGAATGCTGGAAGGTGTGAGAACCTGTGTGAGAACCTCATTCTCTCTCATTCTGGGCCAGGTCTTGAAAGATGATCCTTCTCATGCCGCGGAACCTGATACGTTGGAGTTTCGGAAGTATTGCCAGGGTTGCTTAGCCATGCTTTGGGCCATGGTTGCCTGTTTTGTCTGGTCGGTGGAAAAGCCCAGGGCATGCAAGGTTCAGTCAAAGAAAAGGCAGATGCAATCACTCGAGTTCAACTTTGATGAATTATAATACTTACACTCATTTAAACTCTAGTATTCACTGATACTAGTACCACCGCTTTTGTATGCCGCAGTCTGCCGTCGTTTGCTGTCCCACGGCCGGCAGGTTTCTTTGAAGAACTTCGCAGTATTTTAGAAGCCCCAGAAGTTCATGGCAATCGAACAGAGCAGAAACTCTATGACTCACCACCGCAGGACTCGTGCCAAAAAGGAAGTGTACACACATGAGTCATATGAGCTTGACATAACTTGACATCTCTGATCATGATGCTGGTATCATGATGCATCATTGCTGTGCCTTGACTATGTTCAGATGCGATGCGCAGGAATTCCAAAGAGAACCTAACTGGAGTTCCATCACACCAACTTTTCATCCACCGGTGGTCAATTTGGACCACAGGCGACAATGAATTGGCATTCTGGAAACTCATTCCAATGAAATGCCACATATTTCTTACTTGTGAATCAGACCCAGTTCTTAGCTACAACTTTAAGGGACTTGGAGTTCTGCGTTGATACAGTTGACATTGAGATGACAGCCAGTGCCAGCAGATATCCGAAAAAATTAAATAACTACACTTCATTACCCGGATTTTGATAGGCCATTTCCATCCATTTCCCAGTTGAATGGGTCTTCAGATGGTCCTGAGATGGGCATAGCCATCCCGTGGCAGATTTCAGGCTGGCCGTGCAGGCTGCGTGCCTCGCATCCCCGCCGCACCTTGGTTGAGATTTCATCAGATCTGAGTTGGAGAAGTCGATGTCATGTTTGGGAAACAACAAACAACAGTTCGATTTGTGTTTGGAGGAATCGGACTATCGAACTGTTGTTTGTTGTTTCGTGGCCATTTTACAGTTTGATTAGTTTGATTCACGTAGTATTCACGTTCTTTGCTGGCGGAGAGACTTGTAAGCAGACGAGACAGTAAATTCACAATGTCATTTTAGAATATTTTAGAGTTTGATCTTCTGTACACGCAAGGAAAGAAATATGGAGATCTTTGGTTCTCAGGAAATCCCATGACAAATGCCCGGTTGGCAGAGCTCAGGCCCATGCCTGTCTTGCCTCATCGATTTGGATCATTCCTTTAGCTTCGTGCTCGACAGGATGGCCTGAGCAGATAGAAATGGCAGAACTTCGCGGTGGAAAAAAAGATGCGCAATGCAGAAACATAAGTGCGATGGTAGAAGTGTGAAGGAATCTTGCCAAGTTGGTTGAAGAATGATGTTGTATCCTCAGAACATATCCAAACTCTTGAAAATTGTTTGCCAAATGCTGTGAGGAGAAGATCAATTATCTTTCGATTGCAGGTTGCTCTTGTTTTGACCACCAAGGACTCAGACTGTCTTCTCGATCATAGTGTCATGGTTGCTGGCTGGTGCTGTGATGCAGGCAAGATTGATCTATGAAATTGTCTCGGAAGAGCAAACGCAGACTGACATGACGGGATTGCATGCAGAAGGTCTCACATGCCCAGTTATGCTCAAAACGCCTTGGAATCAAACATGGATCATGAGGATTGAGACCAATCCTCCAGATGGTCGCTGAGTGCTAGGACCTGGCAATACTTAGTTGAAACATGTTGGAAGGTTGTATGACTTGGTGGTCTTGCTCCGAACTGTGCAGGTGGTCCTAGTGGCTTCCATGAAGACAGGAAAGAAGGTTGATTGACGCGGCACGCTTCTGACAGCGAAATCAAGCTGAAAAAGCAAAGTCGCAGTCACATAGAGCCTCAAGGCCCCAAACTTCAACAGAATTTTCCACGGGAGATCCAGCGGTTGAGCTCTTCTGCATCAGCGGTGTGAGACTCCTGCTGTGGAATCCTGGGTCCTGGGTTCGGGGCTGGCCTGCCTACAGCAGGGGTTGGGGTGTCATTTGATGGGGGCTTTGTGCCATGATGATCTATGATGTCAGGACAATATGGGCAATGAAGAATTTTAACTTTGAACTATCTTCTACGTTGGTAAGATGCTTGCCCATTCTCACAAGGATGGTGACGTTGTTGATTTGTCGTCCATTCTATCAGATTCTGTCAGAGTGAAGGTCCAGCTATTTCCAATATGTGCTTTCACTGCTGCTTTGATGGGTGGTGAAGGGCGGACCGCAAGAGCAACTAGACTAGTTTGCATCGAAGTCCCTTTCAAATGCTCATCTCCCGTATGTTTCTAAATTACGATTGAGAGAGATGGCACAAATCCATGCAAATGTACTTGGTGCAATTCTTGTCGTTCATGGTTTCCAGTAAGATTCAAGAGTGTTTCGGTCGTCACCACGACCGGCACAATGGATCTCGCTGTCAGCGTGAAGCTGCACTGGATCCTCAAGATCTCTTAGGTGAGGCCGGTGTGGCTCTGCAAGCTCAACGGACACCATTTGTGCCATCCGGCCAAGAACAAGCGAAGCATGAGCCACAGTGGCTGTAGTGCTTTGGTAGGTCCTTCTACTGCCCATACTCGATACATTAAGAGGTTGAGATGATTTGCTCAATCCTCAAGTGCTTGATGCACAGTAGGAAAGTCCGTCGGTCTCGGGTGGTTGGTAATTTGATTATTGTTTTGATATGTATTGATTGCATTGCAAATCAAATGCGGAAGGATACATGATTGCGCACTAGATACTGCAATAATAATATGCAATACTTGCATGCGGGTGCAATCTGGGCAGTGTTTCCAATAGACCGCAGTCAGACAAGTAGGGATCAGTGCTCATTCATTTGACTCGATTTGACCACATCTTGGCTCACAGTGGGCAACAACTCTGCCTTTGCCGACCCTTCGGCCGCGCTTGGGCTGATCAGACCCTCTGATCAGTCTGTCTTTGAGTAGTGTTTTTCCTTTGGTTTGACCTGACTCCCAATGTTTCTTTCAGTTTATTCTACAGGTACCTGGTAAGACCTGATAAGATGGAAACTTTCCACCCACTCTTGGAGGGACCCGTTTTCACTTGGCCAGTTATGTGCTGAATGGCGGGTTTGCAATTATCCAGCCATGTCGGATACTTTCATCCAGGACATTGTGATGCTGCCAACTGTTTTGGTCCTTGTCAGGATGGCACGATGTAAAGATTTTCTGAGAAAACCTGTGTGTTCCACTCGTCCTGGCACGCAAATCAGAAGACCAGAGAAAAATCAACATCTATTACTATCTATTTGTCAAGATTTGTCGAGCATGTTTGCCAAATGCAGAGGACCGCTGTGCGATTTTTCTCGCCGATTTGCCAAGATCAATTGATGGCGACAAGGCAAGCGAAGAGAGCAAGTCTAGAACCCCACTTTAGAAGACTTTAGGCAGGACTTCTGTGCTGGTTCAACTTCTTTCTTGAGGTTCAAACTTAAGGCTATTTATCAAGAGTGCAAGGCACCATAAAAGAATACGTCTTCCATCGTTCACACGGAAACTTAGTCAGCGTCAGGCTCATTCTGAAATGTTTTGAAAGGACCTGAAAGAGGGCCTGTAAAGCAAACACCTTGCACGCAATTTGTTCGAATTTCACTAGATAGTTTAACAGTTTCATATCTTTGCGAGGGTCTCTGGTAGATGCCGGTCACACAGATCCAGCCTCTGGCAGATCAGCAGACTTCACATGGCATATGGGTTGCCCTTGCCAGTGGACTTTCAGTTGCAGCCTCAGAATCCTCTTCAGTAGGAAGGCCGGAAGGCCTATAAGGCCGCAAGGTGTTGCCCAGGGTGCAAGGCCCAGAGCTTCACGGTTTGTTTATGTTTGATAGCCATTTTAGTCGCCTAGTCCTTGGTCAAAAGCTGGATATCGATCTGGATATCATCGATGTTGCTTTGTCCCGTTGTATCCGATTGTACTCCATTGTACTCCATTGTATCCCGTTGTATCCCGTTGCAACGTTCTGCTGTGAGGCTTCTTCATGATTCCACAGAAACCCAGGCTCGAGGACATTCTAGCAATATACAGCAATTTCATCTACACTGCTTGCACTACAAGATCCATAAAAATACATAAAAAATACCACAATGGGTGACGGATGGTGACGGTTCAATTGTTATGTGCTTCTTTTCATAGTCATTCTGACATATTCTGACTGTGAACTTGCAGACGTTCAGCTGCAGAGGCAAGCTGCGCTGCCATATTCCGGTACACTGATCCCACCACCACAGATGGTGCTCTGGAGGCACGACATGAGACATCACTTGACATATCTTGACATCCATTTTGAATTCACGTGTCCCCATTTTTTAAAGTTGCCTAGATGCTGTGTGCGCAGCAGGGCTGGGAATAGTCCTGAGCTGGATTCTTTTTATTGAGTATGTCATGCAATGCATGCAACGTACAGTGTCCAAGAAAATGTTGTGCATATATCTATATACATTATATACAGCACAAGAAAGAATATATATATATATTATACAGATAGATGGATAGATGATGATGGATGGGTGGGTTGATGGATGGATAGATAGATCGATGGATAGATGAATGGATAGATCCATGGATAGATCCATCGATAGATAGATCGATAGATAGGTAATAGGTAGGTAGGTAGATAGATAGGTAGATAGATAGATAGATAGATATGTATATAACTGTGTATATATATACATATAGACATATATTTATATTATCTATATGTCTATACTTGGTTACTCATTTGAGCCTGTCAACAGAAGGCCACTAATCTCAAAGAATACATTTTTTCTGCTGGTCTGTAAGCTGGAAGCCATCACAGGTCTTCTCCGGCTTGCCCGTTGAGTACAACGGCCGGTACTGGCCACTTCGCCATTTGTCTGCACCATGGGATCGATATGGATCGATCAAATGTATAAGACTTGGTATGATTGGGGTCCGCAGTCCTGTCGTTTTGCCTCAGCTTTACTGCTCATCAGCAATCAGACTGATCATGTACATCAATGGCTGACGCAAAAAAAGGCACTTGATGAAATCTGACTGAAGAAAGCCATGCGTAGCTGACAGACGTTTGAAGATTACTGCCCAATGAACAAGGTCTTGGCTTGTGCAGTAGGAATGCCTAGCATGGATCGATATGGAAGTGATGGGTGTTATTTTGCAGGATCCATGAGTGACGTTGATAGCCATGGCCGAGCTCATAGTGATGGCAGTGGCCCAGTCGGCCTTCTAGTTTGTGGTGGAGCAGTGGTGGACTGCATTGTGCGCCCCTTTGATTCGCAGCAGCATGGTGCTTCACGCACATCGATGCCAGGAGAGGCTCGGATCTCGCACGGTGGCGTCGGCAGAAATCTGGCCGAGGTGTCCTTGCGTCTTGGCTGTGCGGTGCACCTTTTGTCTGCTGTGGGTGGCGATGAGCCTGGAAGGCAGCTGTTGAGTCACTGTCGGCAGCTGGGGCTCCTTGTGGAAGATGTGGCTGTCTTGGACACATTTCGCACTGCAACCTACACAGCTCTACTTGATGGAACAGGAGAGCTGGTGGGTGCAGTTGCAGATATGGCTATCTTGGACAACATCCAGCCAGAAATACTGAGACACAGGTGTGGCTCACTTGATGGCATCAAACTTGTTCTTTGTGAGGCCAATCTTAGTTTCTGACCTCGTCGTTACTTCAACATTTTTTGTTACTCTTTGTTCCCTTGTGGTTATACCTTGTGGTTATGATTTGAAACTGTCAGGAATAATTAAGGCAGCATTCAGATTGAAACTGTTCGACATGATTTGCCCTGTTGCCTTTGAGGTTCTGAAGCTCTCAAAGCAGCTTTACAAGCAGCATCCGGCAACAAGACCTGTATGTGGTTTGATCCTGTCTCCGTTGCCAAAGCGCCACGCGGAGTTCAGAGAATACCATGGCACTTGGCCGCACCTAACTGGGACGAGCTACTGGCCATGCTAGGGTGGAGGGGCCAAGGCTCCATCGAATGGTCAGAAGCGCCAGAAGCGCCAGCACTGCCACCAGCTGTGATTGAAGCTGTCGCAGAAGCTCTAGTCCCAGGATTTGGATTTGCTAAAAATCTTCTTCTAACTCTGGGACCTAAAGGGTGTGTGCTGGCGACACAAACAGATGCAGATGCGATGCCTACTAAGTTTGGAAAGCCACGGATACTTCAAAAAGTCGAACTTGATGTTGCTGGGTTGCTTCAACTTCAAGATGACAAGCCAATTCAGCAATTGCCTGGATTGAGCGTGGAAGTATCCGAGCAAAATCACTCTGATTGCACTTTGCGATGGTATAGATTAAAACCGCTTGATCATGTTCGTGATGTGACTGGTGCAGGTGATGCTTTATTAGCTGGGACTGCTGCTGCATTTGTGGAGGGCTGGACGTTGCCAGACTCGATCTTCCTTGGTCTCATTTGCGCCCACGCAACGCTTTTTGTTGATGGCAGCATTGCACAAGACCTCGGTCCCAACATTTTACCCAAGTTGGCACAACTATTGCCACAACTCCACGGTCGACATGAGATTTCAAGCCGCTTGTGACCTGCTCCTCACCACTTCGTTGTTAGCTTGCGCTTCGAGAGATTGTTCAGAAGTTGATGGAAATGTAGTGAGTGAAAAGGTCACTTCGGGCGTGTTGCATCCGGAGCAATCGCTGCATTTCGCAACGTCAGAATTGAAACATATCGCGCCAATTTCTGCTGACATAGTTGAGAAAGTGTTCACTGGTGGCAAGAACGGATGGAGCGTTTGATGGATGAAATATGAATAGAAAATGATAGATGGAGAGGTGGATGGACAGAGCGATAAGGTGGAGAGCGTCAAAGACTGTACCCAGAGAGGGAGAGAGGTAGTTAGTGCAAACCACCTCGTCTTACATTTTACACTATTTTACTAGATATTTTACTCGAGACGGTGTTGAGATCCCCAGTGTCTTGCCTCGGAAGAGCTCTGCTTTTTATTTTGGCCAAGGCGCAAAGCTTGCTGGAATGAAAATTCCTGATCGTGGGCCCATCCAACCAAAGGAAATGCCGAAGGCAGGAAATCAGAATTGTGGGAACAAGCCAAGCAATCAAAAGGCAAGGAGTAAGGCTTACTGTACAAGATCTGGATCAGGCTTGAGATGGCTAGAGGCTATAGATGGCTATAGATCGCTATAGATGGCAGCATGTTGTGGCACTTTGTTGCAAACTGAAGATAGAGGATCTAGAGGGAGGTGATGGACTCAGGTTCCTTCCCTGCCCAGATTGAGTGTCATCAGTCAAGACTTTGGGGTGTTTTTCTTCTGTGAATATCCTGGTAACTTTCCTCCTATTCCGGCTATTCCTCACACCCCTAAGCCTAAGCTTTGCAAGGCTCCGCCGGTAGATGATCCCATTGTTCTAGTTCGGGAGGCGTGGGAGTTGTGGTCAACACAGATTGCTTCGAGCAGAATGTAAGTATACCTTCTAAACTTGCTATTTGAGCTGACTGAGCAGGCTCAATGTTGGCTTTGTAGATGTGGTGGTTCTTTGCTTGAACAAACATTCAAATAATATCAAATAATTAAATCGAGAAATAAGTCCCCAAATTACAAGGTGTCAGTGCCTTCAGAGTTGCGCAGTTTCACCAGAGCCAGCACAAAGGTCCCGGCGGATTGGTCACAGAAAGATTTGATGAGCTTTCATTTATCCTTGGGCATGGAGGAGTTTCAGACCGCAACTTGTCCTGAAGCAGCTCGCGCTATGATTTCCTGGTATTCTTCCATGTCATGACTTGAACTTGAATTTCATCTAACTTCATCTAATTTCAGCATTTAAGCGGAAGAGCTTCCAACTTGAATTCATGTGCCATTCTTTCTATGCATCCCTGCCAAACTCTGTAAAGAAGCAATTGGCCAAGAAGTACCCTGCTATACCAGGCCATACAAAAACGTAGTAGTTACATGTAGCGACTCTATGCGACTCTCTATTTATACAATTCTGTATCTGGATGTAAGGTAGCTGCAAGATTCTCCTGCAGAGGAGATAAGGAAGTTTGTTCATTGTAATTAGATAATTTACATGTCTTCTGTGTACTATTCAAGAGAGTCGTCCGGATCTTCATAAGTACGGTTGTTTGAGGAAGCAACGCAGTTCGCAAAGCCCAAAGCATTCTCGTGGGTATCACTTGAATTGAACCTGTTTCTCTTGTGAAGTCTCCGATGCTACAGGCAAGTTGGACACGCGATTCCAAGAATTTCATCAAAGCCTAATCCGGAATTCACCTTAGCAAAGCACGGCCGAGGCACGAATGATGCCTTCCAGCGATGGAGGTGACGACATCAGATATCCAAAGATTGTTTATTTAATTCTATTTATGTTTATTTGTCGTGCTTGGAAGATTTAATTCTTCCATCTGAGAAATGCGGCAGTAAGTTTGACCTACATCTTGGGGACTGCTGGATAAACTGCAGTACTGAATGGGACTCGGTAGTCACACTCTTACAATATCAGTATGGCATGAAACAAGACTGGACACATGCACTGAGGTGAATGGGATAACATAGGGTAACGGCACAACAGCACTAGAACAAAGAGTCTTCTTTTGGCAATTTTACGTTTTTAAGATTTCAAGACCTTTCGGCCATTGATTTGTTCAATCTTCCATGCATGCGGAAGGTCTCACTCGTCACGCGTACTTGCAGTACAGGACGCCTGCAGAGTCAATCAAACTTGTAGGTCAGCAAACTACAGAGAATTTTGAATTTGGGTATTTCACAGTTGAACTTTGCAAAACAGGTTCCTAATCACTGAATGTCAGGACGGCAGCAGCTGCTTCCAACGCTGTAAGTAGGCTTGGGCTTGGTTAACAATGTCATGATGTCGTTGTCCACACGGTAGGTGTTGGGTCAATGAGACAGGCTTCGAGTGGCCATGAAAAGGTAGTAGTAGCATGTAGTAGCCATTTCTAGGCATTTGCCGATACTTTGGCAAACAAGAAGAGTCCTCAACGATGCATTTTCTCCGTAAATCATTGTAAATCCCTCAGTGTATCACCTGAGCGGTTGGGAGGATAGGTCCCATGAGTCTTAGGCAGTTGCTAATTTGGGAATGATGTCTTCGCTACTCGAATATCTCGAATGCAGAGGGTTTGCTGTTCTTCATGCATGGCTATGCTAGTATGTCCGAGCTACCCAGTCGGGCACCGGCAGAGCACACAGCTATCCTGGACCTACGAGATTACTTTTAATCGGGCGGAGAACCTGTTCCGGCTTTTTCATCGCATCTGCACCAGGCATGTTCACAATGCCAATGACGATGCTGACACTTGAATTTTGTGATATTTTGTGTCAACACAAATCACACCACATTTCTCTGGGTTGTGTTGACGCTGGGAATTTCCTATGGATCTCATCCACTGACTTCCTACTCGCGTATAGTGAACTCACCCCGCCCGATCCAAAATCTTGCGTTTAGTTGGGGGGAGACTTCCCGGGAAAGTCGCCCCAACATGCGTTTAGTTGCTGTGGACCAGTTGCGTAAGATAGAAAATGATGCTTTAGAAGCAAATATTGCTTCCTTTAGCTTGCGTTTACACTGGTGAACTTGTTGTGTTGTCATGCCTGGCTCAATCATGTGACCGTCGAGCGAATCCGTCGAGCAAATTCATTTCATATGTCGCCCTGCCGGGGGGGGGGGGCCATTCTAGAGTAGTTGCATCGATTCATCTAATTACAGTAGATGCTGGTCTGCTGCTAGGCTGCTGTCGGGCTGATGCTGGGCTGCTGCTAAATGGCTGCCGGATATCATCATGAGCTGAAGGGTTTCCAAAGCTATTTTCTGGCCTCGTTCGCGCCTCGTTTTGGCCTCGCTTTTGGCCTCATTCAGAACCCGTGATTTAAGACCCACCTGGGGGCTCCGTTCAAATGTACTTATAATAGACTGGTTGGCTGAGGCAGAGTCAGGTGGGAATAATTGGTTGCAGAAACATTGCGTTGAGATGTAAATCAGAACCGCATAGATTTGTTACCAATGCCTACATGAATCATGCGTTCGCATTGTCTTCTGAACCCAAAAGATGACATTTCTTAGATGTACTTGTGTTATACTTTGAACATTGGAGTTAGATGCGTTTTGTAACAAAAGATATATATTTTACCCAAGCATACATGATTCATGCGTTTACATGGCGTTTTGATATCGAAATATATCGTTGTGTTACTGTTTTCCATAGTTTGAAACCATTGGGGTGACTTGCGTTCTCATGGTGTTTTGCACATTTGGGATGATAGTTTTTTTGGATTTTTTCATTTTCGTCTTGCGCTTGCAATGGGCGAAGAAGTTGGGGTGACTTTTCCTGGCAGTTGGGGGGCGTAGTTCCATGGAGAATGACTGTTGACTGCAACGTTGGGTTGCGTTGACGCTGGGAATTTCATATGGATCTCATCCACTGACTTCCTATATCTTCCTATATCTTCCTATATCTTCCTATATCTTCCTATATCTTCCTATATCTTCCTATATCTTCCTATATCTTCCTACGTGTTTGTTTTGTTTCAACGGGTGCCATGCTCAACGTCCTGTGACTTGTCAGTCTCTCGGGCAGCTTGGTCCATCCGAGATCCGGAGAGCCCAGGCTTATTGGCACAGGGGATTCGGGTCGCTGCACCGAGATAGGGAAGAAGGGAAGAATCGCAAGGATTGCTTCGGATATCGGAAACGAACATTGAAGATACATGAATATACATGAATATACGTACATATTACGTACAGTACATGAATCATGAATCTGAAATGACTTGAAAAATCCTGAAGATATTTGAGAAGTCTCTGTTTGATGTTGTTTGCCTGTGTTTATCTTTTGTATAACTTGGCAAGGCGGCTGATTGCTGGACTCGCATCTGATGTGCGACATGGGGCTCATGGCCAGTCGCTGGGCCGAGCTGAGTCATGCTGAGTCCTCCAAGCGGTCGGGAGTGGCTAACGGGACATGGACATATTACATGTGATCACTTATCTTAGTATTCACTCACATATACTCACATATTATCATTATTATGATTATAACTATTAGTGTAGTGGCTACGATTATTAGTACTTATATGTAATATATTATGTATTGTTATTGATAATTATATGTGTCGCATACTGTCACAACCTAGAGCATTGCAATAAACTGCTTTTACGGTTTCATCACTCATAGCTCGAAGGGGGGTGTACCTCGATATTTTACTAATTTCTGGAAACGCCTCCATAAAGCAGCTCTGATAGTGCTAATCTCCTGTTCCCTGGCACATTGAGCATGTCTGTGTAATGCCCCGCGACCGAATTCTTTGGAGAAATGCAATTCAAGCAATGTCCAAAAAGAAGATATGAGTCGGACCTAGAAATGGCAAAATCTTTCGGATTCGCTCAGGAACGGCATCAGAGGACGGCAACAAGGTCCAGGCAGAGCGGAGGATGATGTGACTCTCACAACAATTCGCAGATCTGGCAGGTCCAAGTTACAGAATGTCATAGACACTGGATATGAATGGATATGATACCATTGGAAAGTCAAAGTCATTGTTTTCGAAAGTATCACTTCATTACACGGGGGTTGTTCCTCTGTCAAACATGTTACTGTATGTGTTCATGATGTACACTGCATTCATATACATTCACTAGATACATGCAGCACGAACTTATGGATCTGGTTTCTTTGTGCATTGACAATATGAATCCATGTCTGGATCATCCCGGATCAGGCAAGACCTCAGGGTATCGGAACCAGGCAAGACGTCAGCGCAAGACTGCAAAAGCACGTTGGATTTCAACTCTCAGCGTGTTTCAAGATGTTTCATGTCTCAACAGAGTAACTTCCTTCGTATAAGAATATGTAAGAACGTCTAAGAACGTCTAAGAACGTCTAAGAACGTCTAAGAACGTCTAAGAACGTCTAAGAACGTCTAAGCTTCGAGTCCTCTAGCGGCCTGAGCGGTGCAAGGCCCGGGACAGGGATTCGGATCACTTCGAAGCTGGACCTCAGCAGGATCCGTACGGAGCTCAGATGCTGAATCTTGAGATGGTTTATCATTGTTTATCATAAATAAAGGTTATCAATGTTATTTAATTTAATCATATTCAGTCTGTTTGAAGAATGGAATCTTAGGAGTAAATTGATTATGTGGATGATGCTCTTGCTGTCAATATACGCTCCATTCATTTGATTGACCAATCACATTTGATTTAGTTTGCAGGTATACTCTGTATCTCTCGGACATGCCTAGTGATTTCAACAAGAAGGACAGAGTTTCTATGCGTTAGAATGTCAACATCCGGAAGGGCCAACTCACAGAAAAAGCTGATGAGAGGATATGCAGCGGTACAAATATTCAGAGTGTATCTCTGTCCGAATGAAGTCATTTGCAAATGCTGCAAATTGTCTAAGAGGTCGGTAGTAATTGTGTTTGACTCTTGGCGTGACGTGAATCTTGTTTGACATCATTGGACTTGCTCACTTGAAGCCCGGAGTGCCCTGAAATGGGGAGTCCCACTAAAGTTCCTTTTGTTGCTGATTTGTTCAAATCTCTGGTATTGCTGACAAATCAGGGACAAACTCGTGCATTATATAAGCTTGTCTGTGGAGGATTTGGAGAGATTGCACGACCAGCTGGGCATAATCAAGCCGAAAGTTATCAAAGTTCTATACTTGAGGCACAAGAAGGAAACAGAGGTTCAATTTCGAAGGAGAGTTGAGTGCCAGTAGTGCCGTCGAGAGTCTCGGTCTCATTCACAGTCTTGTTGACTAAGGCCCCCAAAACGCTGCAAAGCATTCTGAATGGTCTCTTATCTGTCCGACCATATGAGCTCGTAAATTTCTTAAGGGTTTGGCACCATGTCTCTAAAGCCAATCTACATGGATCCCTGCAGTTTGGCAGGGTGTGGTGGATTGTTGCTTCAATATCTGTTTCTCATGTCAGAGACCGCGTCAGAGACGCGGCCAAATGGGCAGGCTTAACAAAAGCAAAAGCTCTGCTGTTTTGCGATATGACACAATGGAACAGGCACGAGCAGACCAAACTTTGATTCCACCGAAGCACATTCAAAGGGCGTACGACGCTGACATGCGCCGACTGTATTGTGTCGGATTCAGATATCCTGATATCCTGAATGCTGGTAGGAAATGTTATGATTCTTTAAAACCTCTACTAGTACAATGCACACCTAAGCCGTGCGAGGCGAAGAGTGCTTTGATGGTACTGCAGGATCGCCTGGTACTGGTTTGAACCTTAAATTGCTGCAGGTGGCGTTCATCCTTAGTGGGAAACACGACATTGAATCACACTCCATCTGTTCGATTTCTACGTGCACTTTCACCAGGATTGAGGTGAAAGGTGAAAAAACGTGTTTTGGATTGAGACGGTTGCATCAGATCATCACCAACCACAAGTCTTCTACGAACTCCCTCCAAGTTCTCCTGGTGGGATCTGGCCAATTCTTTTTGTTTTTCCCCAAGCAGTGTGGCCACACAGGGGTTCTTATGGTAAGTGTTAAGGCCCGGTGTTCAGTCGTGGTGGTATCATCCGTGTCCGGCCAATTTCCTGTAAATTCCGCACAAAATGGCTCTTGTGAAGTGAAATGTCCATGTGCATTTCGACTGCGCGGGCTCGCACTAAACGAGAAATCTCGCACAGACATCTTGCCAAGAGACTTCTTATAGGGAGCTTGTACAGAGATCTTGCCAAGAGACTTCTTATAGGGAGCTTGTTCAGACATCTTGCCAAGAGACCTCTTATAGAGATCTTGCCAACAGAGCTCTTATAGAGTTCTTGTACAGCGATCTTGCCAGAAGATCTCTGATAGAGATCTTGTACAGAGACCTTGTGAAAAGAGCAGCGATCTTGCTCAGAGATTTTTTTAATAGAGATCGTGTACAGATATCTTGCCAGGATACCACATATGGAGATCTTGTACAGACATTGCACAGAGATCTGTTGCACCAAGAGGTCTTTTACATAAATCTTGCCAAGAGAACTCTTCTAGAGAGCCTTGTGCAGAGGTTTCATAAAGAGATCTTGCACACAGACATTGCATAGAGATCTGTTGAGATCTTGCCCAGAGGCCCCTTGCAGAGATCTTGCCAAGAGACCTCTCGTAAAGATCTTGTACAGAGATCTTGCCAGGACACCTCTTATGGAGGCCATGCACAGAGACATTGCATAGAAATCTGGTTGCAGAGATCTTGACAGGACACCTCTTATGGAGACCTTGTACAGAGACATTGCATAGGGATCTGGTGATTTCTATTCCATTTCATGTCATTCTGGAGAGAAAGTTGTGTAAACACTGATGTGATTCACATCAGGATACAGTAGGGCCACATATATATAGCTTTGCTGGAAAAAACAGCAGGGTGGCCCTAAAAACAAGGAGACACGGGCTGGTGTCACCGTGGCTAGCCAAACGCCAGCGAGCAAAAAAAGGGCCGGCAACTGGCTGCACTGCCTGAACATGTGCCAGGAATGCAAACAGGCGGCTCATTAGCCCCAACATCGCCCTTCAGCGAGATTCACTTCGTGAATCAAAGGGGAGCAAGAAAAGGCACCAGGGGCTCAGCTCAGCGGGTTGTGGAGGAAGTGAAAGTGCAGGGAGCATTCAGCAAATGGGGCGGAGGCTAAGGCAGGCTAAGGCGATTCCAAAGAAACTGTTGGAGAAATGGCGTCTCCAGCTCTTCGAAGGACCGCTCGAGCGTTCTCCCGCTGCAAAGTCAAAGCCAGGGTTTGTTGCAGCCGCTCCGTCAAAACGGAGACAGACTCACCAGTGCGACCAGCGACGGCACGCGCGAGGAGTTTCCAAGTCGAAGTGGCTGCAGGTGCCCAACCGCCAGCGCATGCTTCAGCGACAAGAGGGACAAACTGCAACCCTTCAGCGGTGCACGTGGCTTCGGTGTTGTGGTGGGAACGCTTGCGAGCTTCGTAGTCTGCCGCCGACCGGCTGCCATCTTGAGCAGAGCCAGCGACCGCCCCGACGCGCAGCCCCGACGTGACTGCCAGGTCGAAAGCCGCTGCACCATGAAGGCCCCAGTGCGGGACGTAAACATCTGCTGGGCGTCGACCAGGCCCTTGCCGCACGCCATCTTCTGAGGCCCCACCATGTTCAAGCCTGGGCGGGAGTAACCCGGGTTTTTCAAGTTCAGGGTGGAGGCCAGCCGCTGATGCCCAGGTCGCGACGATGGTGCGAAGACGATTGTGCCGCTTCGTCCTGTCGCCACCACAAGGGCAGGCCCGAGAGTGGTCTCCGTAGGTATCACACACCCCGTCACAAAAACGACAAGGCACATCTTCAGAATGGAGAGGAAGGCGGAGACGAAGGCGAACCATGACGCGGAAAAGGACGCTGTCAACATGGAGGCCAAGGGCAGCACTTGGCAGGGCCTGCAGCCAAGCACGTGGTCCAGGTTCTTGAAGAAGTTGGAGCTGCACTCTAAAAGCTTCATGGCCGGGCCCAGAGAAGGCCGAGGCAAGCTGGGCGGCCGTGCTTCTATCCACTGCCCGAAACATATCTTGTTGTCGAAGGGAATGCGGCGGTGGGAGAGCAACATGGTCGGCAACGAGCAGCGACTCGTTGAGGTTGGCAATGATGGCGTCCATGCTGGGGTTATAGGTTGGCAGCAGCAAGGAGCAAATCGGAGAAGTGGCCAGAACAGAAGCCGTATAGGCAGCTCCACTGTGACGGAAAACGCTGCGAAGGCCAAGGCCGCCGGACTTGGTGGACAAGGTGGCCTGGAGGCATGCCCCCGGCGTAAGTGCTCCCGTGCAACAAAATTCCAAGCATTGAAGAATTGCCAGGTCGTACGACTTCAATGCCCCCTGATGGAACGGGGGTGGGGTGACCCGACTGGAGTATACAAGCTTTGACCAGGAGGCGCAATGACGGAGCAGCACGAGGGCTGTCTGGCTATCGGGCAACTGGCCCAGAGCTTGAAGGAGAGGTTCCGTTTGTATCGCACGCTGTTTGGTGTGCTGGTGGCAAAAGCTGGGGCTGCCGAGGGCAGAGCCAAGCAGAACGAACTCCCCGGAATGGTTGCTGCGCAAGCCAGGGGGGAAAAGGCTGCTGTCCAAGTTCGTGTTGGGACCCCCGAGCGTGGTAAACTCACACTTGCCCACGTTCAGGTGGAGCCCGATCTAGCGGGCAGCATTCACGAGACGGCCTAAAGCTGCGCTGACGGCGGTGTAGTCGCCGGCTAAGCAGACATCATCCAAGTAGGCGAAGCAAAGGTCCAGTTGCGACCGGCCAGCGGCACACAGGGAGGGTTGAAGAGCCAAGGCGAAAAAGAGTGGCCCCAAAGGGTCTCCCTGCTGCACCCCTGCTTCGGATGTCAAGGCTTCATCTTGAAAGAGAAACTTGGTTGGATGGCTGTAGCACCACTCTGCCCAAGGGGTCATGGCGGGAAGGCGCAGCCGCACCTCCCGCAAAACAGTTGCCCGATCAACGGTGTTAAAAGCGTTGACGAAGTCCAGCTTGAGGAAAACCTTGTCGGGATTGTTGCGGTGCACATGGACCCAGTGCAGGAATAAATGCACGGCCGCTTCAGCACCCAAGGGAACAAATATATTTTTAATTTTTTAATATATTAAAAAATATTTACTATTATCAAATTATAAATAAAAAATTATAATTATCAAACATTTAAATATATATTTTTTTAAATATTAAATCCAAAATATATCAAATATCCAAAAATTAACAAAAATAACATCACAAAAAAAAACATATTTTTTTTACATATTACAAATAATTCTCGAAGGAAATTTAGAAGTCAAACTTCCGACAATATAGATAGATGAAAAGCAGAGCAGGGCAGAGGCAGAGAGAAGAGGAAGATTAGAAGAGAGAAGATCAGAAGAGAAAGAGTAAGAAGAAGGAAGATACAGATACGCGAAAAGGTAGGAAAGTCGCGAAACACTATATTTGTCCAATGATTTGTGGCTCCGGAGGGTCGAAAAGTAGACTCGCTAAAGCGGCGGGTGCGGAGCCAGCTGGCCACAGGAGCGATGAAAAATTGCACGCCGTTGTGGCGCGAAGCACATTTCGAAGTCAAAAGTGTTAAAAACTGGCGGTCTCGGACCACTTTTGGAAGTTAAGATATCGAAAAAGTGCACGCCGTTGTGGCGCGAAGCATATTTCCAAATCAAAATGTACAAAACGCCTCAGTTTCGGACCACTTTTGGAAGTTGCGATGTCGAAAAAATGCACGCCGTTGTAGCGCGAAGCACATTTCCAAGTAAAAATATATAAAATACACCAGGTCCAGACCACTTTTAGAAGTTACGATGTCGAAAAAGTACACGCCGTTGTGGCGCGAAGCACATTTCCAAGCCATTCTCGGACCACTTTTGGAAGTTAAGATGTCGAAAAAGTGCACGCCGTTGTGGTGCGAAACATATTTCCAAGTCAAAAGTGTTAAAAACTGACGGTCTCGGACCACTTTTGGAGGTTCAGATGTCGAAAAAGTGTCGAAAAAATGCACGCCGTTGTGGCGCGAAGCACATTTCGAAATCAAAAATATAAAAACATTAAGGGTTTTAAGCCTTTTTTGTCATAAAAATGTCGAACAAATAAACGCTAATTAACTTAACTAATTTAACTAACTTAACTACCCTAATTCCGACGACAACAACAACAACAACAACAACCACAACAACAACAACAACAACAACCACAAAAACTACAACTACAACAACTACAACTACAACACAACAACTACAACTACAACTAGAACTACAACAACAACAGCAACAACAACAACAACAATAACAACAACTACTACTACAACTAGAACTGCAACTACAACAACTACAGCTATAACAACAACAACAACAACTACTACAACAGCAACAACTACAACTACAATAACTACAACAACTACAACAACAACAACAACTACTACTACACTACACAACAACTACAACCACACAACAACTACAACTACAACAACTACAACTACAAAACAACTACAGCTACAACTATATGACTGCAACTACACTACACTAATTACATTACACCACAACTACAACTGCACTACGCTACAACTACAACTACAGTTGCAATACATCACACTACATCCAGCAGTTGTGGGTGAGGTGACCACTGCAACCATTCCAGCAAACACAACTCCAACCACCTTTCGGTCAATCAGTGGCTTCGCTCTGCCATCCCTGATTCACAACAACCAATCTCTCCTATAGGTTTCCTATTTTTAAAACTTCCGCCACCGCCTTATGCGGTACTACTGGTATTATTAATTTATTTTATAAATAATTAAAAAACAAACGTTTATCAATTTACCGAAATATAATCAAAACAATAAAAACAAACATATTATATAAATATTAATTATAATTTTAGATTTATTTTTATTTTTAAATATTTTTTTAAAATATATTTATTTATATATAATTATATATATAGAACATATAATATATCAAATCATATTATTAGCAATTTTAATAAAAATATCATATGTTACAGGGACATAATAAGAAAAGAAAATAAATATTAATATTTACAAAGAAATCCTACATATTTTAGAACCAAACCTTTTAAAAAATATAAAACAAGCAAATAAAAATAACAACCTATTCGAAGAATTTCGAAAAAATATTATTTTATAAGGATGGAGAAACAATCGCGCACTCTAGAATTACCAACCGATGATTTTGTCACGGGATTATTTTATTCTTATGAAAACAACGCATCAAAAAAATAGGATGCCACAACGCACTGTTTTGACTCGTTAAAAAGTTATCGAAAGGATAGCGGGTATCTTGTACGTGCCAGCTGAAAGCTTGGACATTTGGAGTTTCAGAAGCCACAATAATTGCTGAACCTCGGGGTATACTTCACGGATATCTGCGTGCAACAAAGGCACAAGCCAAGAAACTATTTAACAGCAAAGATGGACTTGTCTTTTTCAGGCCCTACGTGAGAAAAGGGGACTCCCCATCGGAGGAAAAGGTGATTATTGTGCTTTGTTCGAAATTTGGTGCTATTTTTACATCGGCCTTGACAAACAACATGTTAGATGGAATTTGGGTTATATTGTTATCAAAGGTTCAATTGGGGTCAGAATCGACCGAAAATACATCATGCTTGCTCGCCGGGCACTCTGTAGGCCAAACTCGAGGCTCTCTGCTGCCAACTCTCATGTTTTTGGATCCATGTTGTGTCCTTTGAGGTATATAAGTCGTTTAACGATGTTTAACGGTAGGAACTTCATCATTAAGTGTCGTTGCTTTGTTGAACAGTACAACGATGGGAATGTTTGGTCGCCTTGGCCAACCATTCCCTTTCAGATCTTTTCTAAAAGGCGATGCATATATATGTAAATATATATAATATATATATAATATATTATATATATAATATATATATAATATATTATATATATAGATTGTCAACACTAATGCTAATACCCCCTTATCCGACAGTATACTATTGATTAAATAAATAGAGACATTTATTCCGCAATAGGCACTTTAAAATAATCAACTGACTATTCTCCCATCTACCCCCTAATTCAATGTTGTACGTTGACCTTGAGATGTGCTCATTTGTGCTCAAGCATGAATAATTATCGTTTTTGGCCTCTGAATGCTGGCAACACCAATCATGTGGCAACATCGAACTTGAGGGTGCGGGGGGTTTGCAAGTTGCTGCAAGTTGTACTGTAGGTTGGAACAGTTAATTAAATATCGTTTTCTTGCGACGGCCATTTTTTGAAGAACCCAGTAATTCCATGCAATTCCATGGTGCTGGGGCAATATCAGAAGTCGTGTAGCAAAATTGGGCAACATTATTGTGATTTTATTCCTTCCCGCGGTGCCCTATTTCGCGGACACGTTGTGTTCGACAGCTTTCGCAGGGTAATTCATTCTGCTACGTGTTTGAGCTTGTTCACTTTCGCAGCCGGTTTCGCAATGTAATTTGCTTCTTTTGGCAGCGACTCACCCAATCAAATCTATAGATAAGATCCCTTCACAAAGGTGTTCGACGCTGCTTTGATAGATACCGCCAGGAAAGCAATTCTTTTTCCGTGCTCTTCACTCAATTAAGCAGAGCATGGTGTGAACCTATTCTTCTTCTCCGTAGGGTTCCAGAGATGAAACGGAATCTACAGATATCTACAGTACAACAAGTCTTGAATTTCTTCAGAACCTGCGACTCTTTAGGTGAGTCAAGTGGCTTCAGTTTCTGCCACCCTGGTGCCATTGCCAAGACTACTCACGTTCCAAGCTCAAACTCACATCCAATGAATGTCTCCGACTCAGCACCGAAGTTTTGGCAGATCCTTGGGGAACGCCATCGATGACCAAGTCCTGCCAAGACTGGCTGATCTAGTGAAGCAACTGGGTGATGGACATGGTGGGTATAGTTTGTTTATTGCCCACAAGCAGGAAAGTCATAGGAAATAATGTGTTCATTTATAGGCCAATAAAGCTAGAAGGCCGCTACAGGGGGATTGCTCTATTTTAATTCGATCTATTTCCACGGTGTTTGGCCTCTCTATCCTTGTGAAGTTGCGTAAATACCCCCGTCACAAGGTTGGCACATGGTGGGCGCACACAGAGAGAAGGCAATCCAAAGCTAAAGATTCCACTGCTTGATGGCATCTCTAGTTACTAGTAGGGGAAGGCAATGGTTGGGGCATCACTGCGGAGCACCGGAAGCATAAAAAACACACCAACATCCTTGAACATCTTAGATTCTCAGAGATCAGCTTGGCTGTAGACTTCAGCAATGCCAGGTACCCATGGGTACCCCACGTTACCCAAGTGGCGTCCTCCCACAAGCGTCGCGCCAAGCTTTCGGGGCTGTCAGGCTGCAGGGCTGCTTGCCCCGCAGCCAGCAACAAAGGCGCCAGCAGCGCACAGCGGCTGAGCCAGGCCATGTGGAGACGGAAACCCAGGGCGGAAGCGGTTAAGCCTTGGTGTGAAGAATTCACTGATTTGAAAAAAAACAGGCGTGTTTTCATACCTTTCTGTTTGGAGAGAAAGCACTGTAGAGATCACAGTTGGGATTTTCGGGGCACAGTTGGGATTTTTAGAGGGCGCGTGAAATTGTCTTCCAAAGCAGGGTGCTGAAGGTGATGCAATCTCTCAAGAAACCGTCGCAACGCCCAGGATTTTCCACCGCAAATTGATGTTCGTCGGTGTCATGTGTTGACATGTGTTGACCCATCCCCGAGTCTCCAAGAAATACTGTAGCAGTTCAATTCAGGCCAAGCATCAAAGGAAGCAGAAGCACTGCAGATCGTTCACCTGCAGAATCACCGAGTTCACCACCCAAATCACCGCAAAGGATGCACAGCCCAGATGCCCCACGGTCTAGTGCTACATGGTGCTACCCTGTTCTTCTGAATCGCATTCAAAAAGATCAAGGGAATTTTTCTTTGACTCTCCTCCAGGTCATGTGCTTTGGATGCTTTGGGACCAGCCCAACAATCATCAAAAAATGATCCAAAGTAAATGTGGCACCAGCCCAACACCAGAATCAGGGAAACAAAGGCCTGTGGATGCGCATAGGGCCGCACCATCCACACCGTACTTGCCATTCCTAGGTTTATGGCCATCACCTTCCCCAAGGAGATGAGGAAATCCTCAGCGACAGCGGGATAGACATGACATGGATGACACTTCCGACGACAGAATGAACAACCAAGGTCTTGAGCCCTCCAAAAACATGCCACTGATGCATATAGAATTACAAGAATCAAGTGTGTACATCTCACTCTCTCTATGTATATCTCCATGCACATATATATATATATATATGTAAGTCCCGTAGGACTCCACTGGTAGCACCCAGAATTCCTTGTCCTCAAGGATTGATGAAAAGTGGAGTAATCCAAAATGTCCGACATGAAGATGAATGTTACCTGGATGGTGTCCTCACCTGCAATGGCCTATGGCGTCACCAAACGCGCAATCCTTTTTCCACAGCTTCCTGGTTGTTTGGCCCTTGAGCCAAATCCGGCATATTGCGGATGGCTCGAATCCCCTGACAATCGAATGGAAGTGGTCCAGCATGCACCTTAAAATTCACACTGGTCTCTATCTTAAATTCGATTGTTAACCCATGTGACCCCGTATTTTCGGTTGGCATTGGTACGTAAAGTTTGGTCTTCATCGTATATTCTGAACTTGCCTAACTGCATGACTGTCCGGAGAAACGTTGAGTCCATCACCTTCGTCAAACTGTCGGCAAGCATTATGGCTGTTGACACCCAACGGCACATCGTGTGATCCTTGGACTGTTCTTTCAGAAGCATAACTTCTATAGTTGCACGCCACTCCTGGCAATTAGGGACTGCCGTCTTAGTAATAAGATCATAAAGTGACTTACAGTCCGTGATCATGAGACCTGGATGTTCGGCTTTCAGAGATACCTCTGGCTGAGACCATCTGAAGTTGGGATCTTTTATGTATCCCCACATGCAACGGATCCAGGTCAGCTTGTCCAAGGAACTGGACATTGCGTACGCTTCTGCGCTCAGCGTCGACCTGACCACTCGGCCTATCTGCTTTGAATGCCAAACTATTGGGGAAAACTCCGTTGTCTCATTAAGTGCTAACCTGGGAGAACATGCCATGATGAAAAGACCTTGTTGGGCAGACAACTGTCTCGCCGACGCAAAACTGGCATCTCCGAAGCTTGCGAAGCTGACTTCAGAAAGAGGTATGGAACGGACAATGATTGACGTGTCACTGAACTTCTGTGCTTCTCTGAGAGTACGGTTACCTTCCAATAAAGTTTCAACTGTGGCTTTAGGAATACTTTTCTGGAGGTATGCAACACGTGTCGCTATGTCCGGTCTGGTATGCACCGCGGCATACTGGAGGCTCCCGCACAAGCCGCGCAGCTGGTGCATCTCTTGGGGGGTTATTGAGCTATCGGGTTCAAGTCTCCTAGTTTTGGGAATGTCTATTGGAGGAATTTTGTGTACATACCTACCTTGGCTGACTTTTATGGAATGATCAGGTAATTGTTCTATATCAAGACCGGTAAACTTGAATCTTCCATGTTCTCGTGAACCAAAAGGCAATGTCTTTTGTAGTTTCTCCAAAGCTTTCTCAAAGTTACTATTTCCCCCGCCTATGCCATCATCAACATGTGTTCCAAGTATACCATCAAGTATTTTGGGATTCCTCAACAGAAAGAGACAATTGTCTAGTGGATGTGTCTGGAAACCTACATCTTCAAGATGACTTTTGAATTCCTTATAGAAAAGGAGTGGGGCATCTACCCTTCCGTAAGCATTACCCCGCAGGAGGCAAACTTGTTGGGAGTCCATCCCCAAAAGTGCTTGAAGCTCCGGTGGGGCTTCCATAGCTAGCTGACGGTCGTCAGACCTGCCACGTAAGAAGGCTGTGGTGATGTCGAAAGACTGCACCACCCATCGCATGCTAGACACTGTTTGCAGGAGCAGCATCCTAGAGTCTCTCGTCAGTGTTGGGCTATCTGAACATAGAGATCCTATATCGGGGTCCTGAAACCCTTTTACAACAAGTCGGGCTTTTGCTTTACGGCCGCTTGGTTGGGATGCATCTTCTTTCCATGTTAGAATCCATCGGGAAGACATAATCCTGGAGGGATGTATTTTGTTTCTCATGATAGCTTGAACAGTCTGTGTGTCTAACCAACATTTCAACTCTTTCTGTTTGGCTTCGTGGAACAGTTTCTTCTCATGTGACGAGAGATCACTGTATCGTACTTCACTGCGTGATTTCTTGGCTGCTGCCATCAAGCAGGGGAGATATTCGGCCGGCTGTGCGAGGTATCGGGAAAGCTGCTGTCGGGGAACATCAAAAGCAAAGGTGGTGCAGGCATGTTCATAGGGATCCTGCGCCATCCAAAGAGTGCCATTGTCCTCAATGACAAGATCTTCACTGCTCGTTCGTTCATGAATCTCTACATTGTATACTGGCTCCATGTTTGGATCAGTGACTGCGCTTTCTACATCGGTTTCCATTTCAACAGTGGCACCTTCGGATTCTTCTGCCTGAGTTCGCTCTTCAGCATTCTCCCTCGGGATTGAGGAAGCTGGGGATTCGGGAACTGGCGTTGCTTGAGCATGGGCAAGTCGCACTGCATCCTGGTCAAGGTTAAAGGTTAGTTTACGATGGGGTTCTTCTTCGGGTTGTCCACTGGAGTTATTTGAGGATGGATTATTGAGGTTATCGGCTTCGGGTTCTTCATTATCTGGAGGACTAGGGCCTATTTCACTTAGGTCTAAGTATTGAAATAGCCCGCTTCTTTCTCTGAGCCTCTGTTGGAGTCGTTGAGGCATTTGGGATAGTTGTTCGGGTGATGATGTTTGAGTGAAAGTGGCGTGTTGCTGAAATTCCCTCATAGAGACTGGCCTGAGATTTTCATGGGCACATCTCAACAGTCTATTTAGATGGGTTATCCATACTATGGTTCTTGATTCCTGGCAAACTATTTGGGCGGGCCCATTCCATCTACCCTTTTCAAGCATGTTGGGGGACCTGCGCCTATCCCAATACATGCAAAGTTGGCCACATGCCCACGAATGTTGGGTGCCACGCGATTGTCTGAGCATTGCTCTGCGAATGGCCTGATTGTTGTCGGCCCTTGCAAAGGCTGCACGTGCAGCGGCACGTAGTTGCAGTTGTTGTTGAAACTTGGTGCTCGCGAGATCGGCTCCCTGACAATTCAAATGGGCAATGGAATCTTCATCAGAAATGATGGATGCCGGAAGTTTGGATGCTCTGCCTAAGACTGCTTGTTCGGGGCTGTATCCATCAACTATGGACATGGCATTTTTGGCTTGAAAGCATTGCAATAGGGCTGCATCAAACTGGCTTGAGTCGTTGATGGCATATTCTTGATCTATCCGGTGAAGCATGTCTTTTATGGTTGATCCATGACGTTCGATCCTGCCCCTCTGCCAGGGTGCCGCTGACAAGATCGGCTGGATGCCGTGCTCAAGCAGCAAGTCTTTCCATTCGTTGGTCATGAATTCACCTCCCTGATCGTGTGCAATTTGTCGTGGATATCCAGCCCATTGAAACCAAATTTGATGAAGGGTTCTTATGGTGGTTTGAATGTCTCTTTGGGATCGGAGTCCAAGGTGAAATCTAGTAGCATCATCAATTACATGGATAACATAATAGTTTTGACCCCCTTTCCCTTTCCATTCAAAACCATCAAAGGAAATCCTTTCATTAAATTCTTTGGGATCTTTGAGGTTTCCTGGAGTGGTGAGCTTTGGCGTCTGACGCTCAGCACATGTTCCACATAAATAGTCCTTGGCTGCGTCGATCAGGTGTCGTTGTGCACGTGCTTCGGACAGATGTCTGGCCAGTTTTTCTGCTGTCGGATGTCCCAAATTGGTATGCAATTTGCGAATAATCCCCTTATCTCCATCTGAAAGTTCTAGAAACTTGGGACCACTCACACTGGCTGACAAGGGTGTCCACGTCGCAAGATCTGGATTGAAGGTTCCAGGAGATGTGTCATCTCGAACGTTGGAACCCTGCGGTGCATCGGCTGTTGTTTCTGCATCCGGTCTTTCCACGGGTTGATCTCGGAGATTCTTTTCGGCAAAAACGCACAACATGACATGACTGGGCTTGGCATGACGGTGAGCTTGCAATTTGGACATGCGGCTGCAGTCCTCAACTCCGAGGTCTTGTATTGTGTGGTCTGACCGCAACATGACTATGGTATGTCGACGAGGCAAATCATCGACCCAGCCTTGATCACCGACAATGTATCGGTCGAGTCCCTTTCCGGCACATATTGCTCCAATGCTGTACTTTGGTAAGATAGCTTGGATTTCTTGAAACAGTGAATCTACTGGATTGGTCCATGTCTTGATTCCGGACTTCGGCAACAACTGTCGGAGTTTCTCCATGACGGGTTGCCACTGCTGGCTATTGGTGTCTACGTGGGCTTCTGTCTCGGCAGTGTCTTCATGTGTGTCATGTGGCTCCTGAATCCGAGCTGTCTTTGTTGGTGGTTCTTCTATGTCAGAAACATGGAGTATAGGTGCCTCAATGGGAATCGATTTTTCTCTGAGTATGCCCCTAACTATGGCTTTGGCAAAAGGTCGTGGATACATCGCGGCAAACTGCGACACATTGATAGTTTTTCCCATCCACTTGCAAGTTCCAGCAACATGACCATGTTTATGTTCTCTATGGCATATTCTTTGATCAAGTTCCTTGAAAAGTGACATGGACGTAGTTTGTATTCTGGTCTTCTTCTCTATAGGATCCTTTGTTTGGGGATTCTTGAGACCCATCGTGCATTGGTCAACTTTGGCAGCAACAGAACCCTTGAGAAAATCATTCAACTCCTTTTGATACCATGTTTCTGCAGACCATTGGCTTTCAAAATGTGTGTGACGACCTTCACCTGCCTGTATCTTATATACCAAGTTGCACAACTTCAGATGGGCTCGGGACTCTTGGCGATCCTGCTGAACTCTGAGAAACCCGGCTGGGCTTCTCTGAGGATTGAACCGGTTCCAAGCACACCACGGACGGCACTCTGGGCTTAACCATACATGAGAAGGTCTTCGGAGAAAAATGGTAACTAAGAGGTTTTGTCTACCGGCTTTTGTGGACAAGTCTCCATCTTCTTGGGTGAACCTTTCTGCCTTGAGTCCACATTGTTTGGCAATTTCGGTAAGATTACTTTTGGGGTACGCATATACTTCCAAAAGATCTAACTTCGAACACTTGTTACCATCTTTGTTGATTATCTTGAAAACCTCTTTCAACCAACCAGCTTCCTCTCCGTCAGAGATCCTTGCATCATGTTTGGCCCGGTTTCTGAGATGATACCGGTTGGATGGAATCGGCTGCCACTCACTCAGGCGTTCACGTTCTGCTGTGCCATGGTTTGCAACCGTTGGCGTGTGTTGGCGTAGTTCAGGTAGTCGCCAACATCTTCGTGCAGATTGCCTGAACGGGCTTGGACCCATCTTGTGTATCCCGGATCTGTATCGAACACCTCTTGGAAGCTTTTCCCCGGATGTTTCTTGCCCCACGTGATGCTCTTTCTGCCCCATTGTTCCAGCGCGCTCTGTGTCAGAGCCAGTTGGTGATTGTCGTTGCTCCCTTGTCCGGAAGCTCCCGCCACTGGCTGTTGGTGTGAGCTGGGCAATGGGATTCCAGCAACCTTGTATCCACTGGTCTTGGGAACCCGACCCACTGGGTTGTTCATCGTGTTCGCAGATGCCATAGGTGGGGAAGTAGAGAGGCTTGCAGCTTGGCTCATAGCTCCTCCTTGAAAAGCTCCAAGGCTTCGGGCTTCTTCTTCCATTTCTGCGAGCTCCCACAGGTCCGTGCCAATTGTCTCCGCATGACTTGGGCTCTTGGGTGCAGGCACCTGGGATCGATTGGTCAGAGGATTCAGCAGTTGATTCTGAATGAGGTTCCCCAGCTCTGAGATCTTGAGCTGCTGGGCACGTACTTCTTGGATCAGTTGGGTGATCGGCGACACCTCCTGCTCCGTCACTTGCTCGTCTGGGTGGATGGCTCGAGTCATGCTGAAGATCATTGCAAAAAGAATCCTCAGGCACTCGAGCACTTCCTCCGAGAGAACTCGGAGTCCTTCCAGCACTTCCTGGCGAGACGGCATTCTGAACGTCGATACTATGACGGGCAAGGCCTGGTGGCTCACTGATGGTCGCACTTGAAGCAAGAAGGGCTGCTTCGGTACATGTCTTTGGTGATTGACACAGATCGGCCATGTCAATGACAAACAATCCATTCTGGTTTTCTCTCAAAGGAAGGGAACGATCCAATGTTTTGAGATAGCATGTGTTTCTTTGCAAATCAATATTGGCTCCCAAACTCTTCATGGTTTTGATTGACAGAAGAAACGGAGTGGCTTTCGGAACAACCTCAATCAGTAACCATATTCTTTGGTTCTTGTAAAAAAGTGGAATTTGCAGCTGTTTAAAACTGTATGCAATATGGCTATTTCCAAACCTGAATCCAACCTTGCTTGGGCACTCCCGCACTTGCTCTCGGACGGATGCAGGAAGTTTTTGCAGGACGGCTGTCACATGGTCGTTGCCTATGACACTTCGGCTAGCTCCTGTATCTAGGATAGCCATGCCTGTTGCTTGCTTGGTCCTATGGGCCTGACTGGTCAGACACTCGGCAACGGGATTCTGGTGCTTGGTCTCAGTGGCCGTGCTCGATGAGCGTGCTGGCATCTTCTGTGTCCTCCTGTTCATGGCCGTGCGGTTCATGTTGGGAGTCACATGGGACCTACTTTGGCCTGGGTTATACTTATTTAACCTAGGGGACCAGAATTTTAAGACAGCTTGCTGGACTGATGGACGGATGCAACCCTCGGATGCTCTGGCAGGGCTATGTACAACGAAACATGACTCATGAAGTCTCTGTTGGTCCTCCATCAGCGGCTCAAAGATCACCTGAGGCAGCTCTTGATGAGGATCATCTTCGGCTTCTGGTTGAACCACATTTGCTTGTTCTTTGGCAGCGTCCCTCTTTTGGGGGCACTCGGCCTTCCAGTGACCAATCATGCCGCACAGCTTGCAGTGCGTTCTGCTGATCTTCGCCAACAGTTCTTCTTTTCCACTTTTTCCTCCACCTTTTCGGCCACCCTTTTGGAAGAAACCCTTCCCTTTTCCTTTGCTAGGCCAAAAGCCTCTTGACCGTCGACGATCACTGATGCGTTGTCTGGCTTCTTGGTACGACACCAGTGCTTGCTGGAGGTCAGGTATCTCCTGCATCATGTCCTCGAAGTCTTTCTCGAACTGCTGCACCATTAGTGCATCTTCATCTCCATAGATCGCGAGCTGCTCAATGTGCTCGGCAGTCAGAGCTTCTTCCTCCTCCGTGGGCACGTTGTATGTGGCATGCATGGAGCCATCTTCATCCCCTGCAGTGGGTGGATTTTCATCGGTCTCAACCATGTTGGCGGGGTAAATCTTCTTCTTCGGTTCACCTGCACTGAACAAAACCTTCGTAGACAAGGTTCGCTTGGCCTGTTCGATGGACTTCAAAGTGAAGCCACCTGAGGCCATTGTGAGGACTCTCTTCTTGTCCTCGTTGCTCAGTGCTGATTGTCTCAGCAGTATGAACGCTTGCATCTCCTTGATGGTCACCTTGTCACCCAGGTCGGCGAATGCCGTTCCCAACCTCAGTGAGTAGCTATGCGCTGCTTCGTCAGCCTTCTGTGTCACCTTGTAGATCGCCTTCTCAAAGAGTTCAAAGGTCTTCAACTCTGAAGTCTCCTCCCAGCTAGACAATGAGTCCAGCAAATACTCGACCCCTGTCTCAGGCTCCATGAGCTTGGCAGGATCGAGAAGCCGCACTTGATTCCATGCCGTTCCCTTGCAGAGCATTGCCAGACGTGGAGCTAAGTTCCCTTTGTCTTTGCTAGGAAAAACCCCATGCAGAAACCTTGCTTTCTGACTGAACTCACGTATGTCATCTGTTGTGGGGTCAAAACTGGGTAACTGCCCCCACAGTCCTGTTGATTTCTCCTCTGATGAGGAGGTTCCACTTGGTGTCTCCATTGGAAACCAACTCTGAATCCTCTCCGGCTTTGCGAGCTTCAAGGTAGCTCGAGCCCGTAGGCTCCGCTACCAGTGTAAGTCCCGTAGGGCTCCACTGGTAGCACCCAGAATTCCTTGTCCTCAAGGATTGATGAAAAGTGGAGTAATCCAAAATGTCCGAAATGAAGATGAATGTTACCTGGATGGTGTCCTCACCTGCAATGGCCTATGGCGTCACCAAACGCGCAATCCTTTTTCCACAGCTTCCTGGTTGTTTGGCCCTTGAGCCAAATCCGGCATATTGCGGATGGCTCGAATCCCCTGACAATCGAATGGAAGTGGTCCAGCATGCACCTTAAAATTCACATATATATACTGTATGTGTATATATATATATATATTAGTTGTGTGATGTTCTGTTAGTACACGTATCCCAAAAAACAGCTACATATCAAATCTGATACCGCTGCGTTTCCACAATTGGTCGGCTCAGCTTTCACCCAGGCTCGTTTTCATCGGCACTGGAGGCCACTTGTGCAGCGGACACCACCTGGTCACGGGATGTCAGGTTGGAACACCAAAAGGCAGACTCATAGCCGTCACCTTGGTGGATAACATATGTATATATATATATATATCATCAAATATCACAACATGGGACAAAAAACAGGTTACACATGGTTATGTAAGTTATATAATACACACACACGCATATATATATATATATATAAATAATTATAAATATATGTATAATTATATGTTATTATATAATGCTGGCAAGTCAAGAGACAATTGATGAGGTGGTTTCCCAGTGTGTAGCTGTAGCAGCCCTAGAATCAAGCATGTGCTGTGCAAAAAACACCAACACGGTCTACATCACCACTGTTGTACCTTCGCTTGCCAGCAATGGCCGCAAATAGACAAGACATCTCAATTGCCTACTACTTGCGACCATCATGGGTAAAAGAACCTTGCCAATGGATGTCAATGGCATTCAGAGATCTGTCGTAAAAGTCAGTGAGCCAGTGAGCCAAGCCATCCCGCCTGCACAACGGCCACAGCCACTAACTTCAACACCACTTCCATCCACAAATCTCGACAGGTGGCCTGGTTGCTGCTGTTCTGTGGGACGGCTGTGTAAAATTTCTTGCTTAGTGTGCATGGAAAGGGTGGTAAAATGGCTCAACTGTGAGGGATCTCGATAGAAATCGAGGCAACACATGGCACAACGTCAGAGCATGATCCTCAGACTGAGGATGAACAAATCTGATTGCATCACCTAGAATTGATATATCTTACCTCCTGAAGGTTCCTTCTTCAGAGTCTTATGGGTCTTGAAGGCTGGCCAAAAGGTGTCCAAAAGCTATGTCCCCGCAACTATTATTCGAGCAAAGTTTGCTTCAGCTTCACATCCCGTGGATCAACTTTGGAGTTCAAGGTTATGCTCATGCTTCCCTGTTTGAAATCTGACTTACATTTACGATAATGCGGGTGCATTGAACCTACAAAGTGCCAACAACTCCGAAGAGACCATCTGCCAAGTGAGACTTGTTCAACTTAAAAAAACAAAAGAAAAAACACAGGAAACAACACCCCAAGCTGCATGGCAGCTGAGTCCAGATAATATCGCTTCAGGCTCAGGGTGATGGCACCAAAGGAACCAAAGCCTACCCATCCCAAAAAAACCATGCCAGCGCACGGCCCGAAAGAGTAACCCTGAGCCTGAAGGTATACTCCCCCTCCTTTTACCGTAGCGCAAAAAAAAATATTTTTTTTTATTTTCCACGTTAACGAAATGGACGATTCGGAGGTTTACTTCCATGTTAGTTGCATTGGGGGGGGGGTAAACTGCAAATTTGTGTTCTTTGGATCTGAGCCTTTTTTTTTTTTGGCTGGTTCTTTTTGCCACGAGTTCCCCGGGAATCCTGGGCATTTTTTGATTAACGTAGAAATTTTGATTTTTTCAAGATATTTCAAGATAAAGCTGGGATTGCCTTCATTTTTTAACAACCAACGATTGGAACACATAACTTACATAGAAATTTGCTACTTGAAGTAGGATGTGGGCAGTGCCATGTTAGCGAGCGCTCGGTCCTTTACTCCCCCTCCATTTACCGTACTGCATTTTTTTTTTATTCCACGTTAACTAAAGTGACAATTCGGAGGTTTACTTCCATGTTAGTTGCAATGGGGGGGGTAAACTGCAAATTTGTGTTCTTTGGATCTGGGCCCTTTTTTTTGGCTAGTTCTTTTTGCCACGAGTTCCCCGGGAATCCTGGGCATTTGTTGATTAACGTAGAAATTTTGAATCACCAAACATGGAACGGAGTGCCATGTTAAAAAAAATGCTATTCATGGTAAAACCTTTGGTTTGGTACTAGGGTTCCCCATACTTCTCAGGAGGATTTCATTTTCCAAAAAGAATGAAAACACATGAATCCCAAACCAGGTTTTTCATATGATTTTTTCTTTATTAAACTCGTTATATAAAATGCTCGATTTGTGAACTTTTGGTGTTGAATTCAGGCTTGGACCCTTTGATGGTTGCTTTTAAGATATGGGCGACCAGCAGTTCAAGAGATGAATCACCAAACATGGAACGGAGAGCCATGTTAAAAAATCGTGCTATTCATGGTAAAACCTTTGGTTTGGTACTAGGGTTCCCCATACTTCTCAGGAGGATTTCATTTCCCAAAAAGAAGGAAAAGACATGAATCCCACACCAGGTTTTTCATATGTTTTTTTCTTTATTAAACTCTTTATGTAAAAAGCCCGATTTGTGAACTTTTGGTGCTGAATCCAGACTTGGACCCTTTGGTGATTGCTTTTGAGATACGGGTGACCAGCATGACGGGGGTGAGAAGATAGATGCAAAGAAGAAAACAAATGATGTGGCGGTCAGTCTGGGGGTTTTAGGGATCGCCCTAGAAGGATGTATTCAACATGAGGGGAGAACATGTTAACATAGAAGTTGCCAACCTGATGTTTGGACCTTCAAGTTACTTCCACGTAAGCGTTTTTAGTCTCAGTTTTCCAACTTCCATGTTGAACATGCTCCTTCAAGCTACTTCCATGTAAGTGATTTACGGTCAGTTTTTCTGCATTTGCTGGCCCGGTAGCCCAGTTTCACTTTTTCCCCAGGAATGGGACGTAAACGACTTCCATGTAAACCGACAGGTTTTTCCATCCTGACTTCCACGGTAAAATAAGGGGGTGTATACATTACTCTTTGGATCTCTTTGGCTACGATCATTAAGTATCAAATTCCTCTACCAATCAGCGAAATGTTGATGGCATCACGTCGGGTAGAGATACCACGTTCAGCGGGTCTCGGCATTCTGAGCCCAGCTGCATACTTCAGAAGGGTCTCCTTGGCTCCCTCCAAGAGTCCTCGGCCAAGCCATGGGCTATGGGCAATGGATGCCAGCCATGGATGCCAGCCATGATCGGTTGATCCAACGACTGCCCACCCGCTTGTTGTATTAATGTCAGCCTTTATCCATCTAAATTGCCACTTTATATATATATATACAAATGTATATGTGGTATGCTTGTATGTGTAATTCTAATCCATACTATCAACTGATACAACGGTTGGGCCGAGGCTCTGTCTGTCTTCCCCACCTCTGACAGAATGCAATGCTCCAACAGCATCTCTGTGATGGCATGGTGCTGCAGCTTCTCCTAGGGAGCGCATGGCCGATTACAGTTGTTGAATTGATGTCCAGTAACCTCAAACATTATATTTATAATATATATAATTATATTGTATTTATACATACATGATCATATATATGTAAATTGTCATATCTGAACCACTATGTTTGAGGAATCTACGTTTCATCATTTTTCAATCTTTTGGGTGATCGTTTCATATGGTTGCTATAGTGTGATGGATCTCTTGGAGCTACAAGCCAAGATTTCTCCAGCTGATCTTTTTGTTGTGGCAGCGACTCCATGAAATGTTTTCGAACTGCGCTGAGCCCGCAATGTCTGGTGCAAGGTACTGACTCGTTCTTGAATCGCATGTTGCTGGAATCCACCTAAGTCACCAAGTCTTAACAAGGTCCATCTTGAGCAGAACTTGGTAGTTAGTAGTTGTGCATGCCAAGGCACATCGAGCTCAATGGTTTGGCTGGGGTGGTCCAAGAGCGTTATAATCCTTAGATCTTTTGGTGACTTTTGGTGGCTTGAAGGAGCACTTTGATTGCCTTGAAATTTGAAGGACCCCAGAAACGGTGAAATTATGCCCAATTATCCTGAATTATCAACCTACGGGCACTATCCCTGATGGCTTTGCTGAATAAGAACCTGAACATGGATTGAGCATTTTTTTCTTTTCCGCAATGGCTGTTGGTCAGAACTGGCCGCCCAAAAACTGGAATGATGTACAATGATTTGTTGCAAAACACTCATCAACACTTGCAGGTTCATTCAATTCAACCATCCCTTATAAGAACCAACCAACAATCATTTATCAAATTATATAATATCCCGCCCTTTTTTGATTGTTAAACCCCCCAAATTCAAATTGATGATGGTTAAATATCCCTATTAACCATGGTTAGCTCCCTATCAATTGTGATTCAATCCCCATTACTATTGATGCTTTGAAACCACTGGTCAAACGGTTAAACCCTTGTTTTTGATGAACAACCCCCTATTTTCCGATATTTTTTCGATGATTTTCTGGTCAAAACCTGGTTCAAAAGTTAAGTCCCCTATCCAAAATTTCTTGTGTCTTGCATTTAATATCATTTAATAATATTTAATCATATTTAATCCATTTTTCGGATGAAGGATACATAGTCAAATCACGTTAAATCCCCTATCAGATCAACAACATTCAACAACCAACACGTATGCCGCCACGTCACCCCTGGCCCCCTCGCAGCTGCACGCACACGGCGCCGTGCTGCGTCAACGCCACATAGGCGACGGAGGTGGCCACCAGGCGGCGGTCCAAGTTGATGTCCTTTCCACCCCCGAAAAAAAGGTGGTTTAATGGGGATTCATTAGGAAATTCATGGAGATTTGATGGGGATTTAATATGAATTTTAATATATTTAAAGGTGAACTCATGGAGGTTTCAATGGATTCAATGGGGGTTCAATTGGAATTTCATGGTGATTGATGTTTCGTTTTGGGCATTCATAGGGATTTCATGGGGTCTAATGCTGGGTTCATGATGATTTAATATGATTTAATGGGATTTAATAAGGATTTCTTGACTTTCATGGGGATTTCATGGAGTGTTTAATAAGGGTTGCATTTGGGTTTGATGGGATTGAATGGTGTTTTTCATGGCATTTAATGTGCGTAATGGGATTTGATAGGATTTCATCACCAACCAAAACGGGAATAGCATTGGGATAATGTATATATGATAATTTCAATAACAGTACATCACCAAACTATTATGAATTGGAAACGGGATCGTCAAATGCCCAACTTTTACCACGGCAGCGCGGTATGACTCAAGGGCCCTAAAGCCAAATGTCAACGGGGCATGTGATCACTTGGCTATACAAAATATACATTAGACAGTCAAACTCACACTCAACCTGTTCTTCAAGGATCACATGATGCTAGTGAAAAAGTTGGCTCTAAGGCTTCTTCTGTACACGATAAATGCACTCCTTCAAAACGCGGATGATGAGGTCCGGGCGCATGCTCTTGGTCAGAGCATCCGAGACCATAGTCCCTGTAGCAATCCAGGTAACAATGTCTCCTCCGCCATGATGCATATCCCAGGTCCTCCGGCCGTCTTGCCAAAGTGACTCATGAATCGACTGCAACTCAATGCCGAGTCGTTTGTCTGCGACCCTGCCGAGTACCTCATTCGCAAGATGGTCTGTTAAAGACCTGCAGTCTGAAAGCATCAGTTGTGGAATACAGCTGCGGCTGTCATCCAACCATGTTTTCATCGAGTCAAGTTGGCCCATCAGTTCGGCCAATGCTCCACGTAGCTTGTCACCGCTCTCTTGTCCAGCCTGCAGTGAATAAGCTTCGCATTGAAGAGTGCTGCGGCATACTCGCCGAATTGTATTTGATGCAAATCCCAATGGCATCACCCTGTAGGATGTAGTCTTGGGGTCTTTGATCTCATTGATGTCTCCAAAAAATGGAAACGTCCTTGTTGTGATTTGTAGTTCTTCTCGTTTGAAAATGAAGCATCTGTTGCTGTAATGATACCAACCTTTCCCCAGGTTAGATGTCCACCTGGAAAAATGAGCTTGTTCTCAATGCCTTGTTGTGCCAGCTGTACTACGGCATTTGCGTCGTGCAAAATAGCAACTGTCGCTCCAGAAATACTGGACTGTAGGCGGCTCACACGATAACCCAAATCGGGTCTAGTCTGCCTTGCCACCCATGCCAATGATCCCGTTACAGATCGTAATCGGGTCACATCATCCTTACCCAACGGCTCGGACGCTGATCTTCCTGGCGCGATCTTGATCGGCTTGATGCGACGGGTGTTGTCACAAGTGTCTTGTGTGATTGTTCCATCTGCAGTACGCTCAAATTGCTTGCCACAATAGCGAAACGAATTTGATTCACTTGATCCCAAGTTGAACTTCTCCAAGAAGCTGTCGATCACTGACTTTCCCTCAGGAATGTATGCGTACAAGATGTCATCCACATGTGTCGCCATAAGTGCAACGCAATCTTTGTCGGTTCCTGGAAGGAAATACAATCCTGGGTAAAACTTGGATTGTTTCAAGCCACTGGATCGGGCATCTCCGTCCAACCTCAACCAAAAACCTCGACCGCTGTCAGTCAATCCATATATAGGCACCCGCACAAGGAAAAACACCTCTGGATCAACTCCCGGGAGACCTCCTCGGGGTTGTCTCATAATGAGAACTCTATCAAGAGGACGACCTTGGAAATATGCGGATGCGACGTCCGCACTGTGCAATTGTGCGCCCTGGATCGCCGCCCAACAGCAAAGAATGTTGTGAGCTTCCGTATCTGCTGTAGGACTGTCTGATCTCAAACCTTCACTGACTTCGAAATTGCCGCATGATACCAACCGGCTCTTGAACTTTGGCACATATTCTTGATCTGATCTTCCTTTCATGAACTGATTCTTGTCGACATCAACCCACTTGCTAGGAATACATTGATGTCCTTCAGCAATCAACCTCTCAGCATCTTCTTTTGAAATTTCAACAACAGCAGCGAACTCAAGGAACTTGCTCCACTCCTTGGTTCTGGCATCCATGATGTTCTTCTGTACATCAGGTGACGCTGATTCATAGTGGATTGATTTCAACACTTTCTTACCTTGCTCTTCGTCCTCAGGGACTTCAACTTCCTGGGACAAAAATGATGCAAACAATGCTCGTGCTTCTTGTTGTTCTTCAGGACTTCGTTCTGAGTCTCTCTCACGAGCTCTTTCAAGATGTGTTCGCAATTGATGCGGCAAGTCATTCAAAAGTTCTCTTCGTAATGGCCAAGATGATGCTGACGGCGAGGATAGTGGTCCCAAAACGGAGCCACTTGGAGTAGAATCAGGCACAAAGGAGTCTCTCCGAGATGGCACAAGTGATGAGCCTCTCTCCGACTCAGGTTGTAGGTGAGACTCTACTCGAGGTCTCACATTGCGTTCATGATCTCCATCTCCTGGACGTGGTCTTTCAACTCTTCTCTCTGGAGTTCTACTTTGCGAAAAGATGTCTTCTTCCATAGGACCGGTGTCTTCCTCCTCTTCACCCTCTTCAAAGAAACCGGGTCGTATGTCCCATTCATCTTCAGGTACTTCTGGTATAGGAGGGAGTGCTGAATCCACATTGCCTTCAGGGACAACTTCAACATCGTCTGCTTGTCCTGGACCTTCACGAACAACTTCAACCTCATCTGCTTGCCTTGCATCAAGAAACGCTTGTTGACCTGTATCATTGATGATCTTGTATGGAATCACAGGTTCACCGCTCAACACTGATTGAGCAAGAGCTTCAGAAGGAGAAGCAATGCGTATGTTGTGAGAAGCTACAAGTACTGGAACGTTACCACATAGTAACCATATGTTCTTCTGGTTCTCGTGTCCGATCACACGGCATGTTGGTGACCAGGACGTTCCTCCTCGTTGATTGTCTCGTCTGAAAGTGACGAGATCACCAATGTTGAACTCACGGTCAAACACACTGGCATTGCGTGTCAACGCTCTCTGAACTCTTCTTGAACAATCAAGATGAACAAATGCCTTTTGTGCCTCAATCCTGGCCAAATGTTGTAATGCAAAAATTGATGAAGGGTCATGTCGGGCCTGAATGGCTCCGAGCTGTGCGTGATCTTCCTCTGACATGAGTGAAGCTACACCACGGGGAGCTCGACCGAGCACCCACTGAGATGGAGAAAAACCTCCAACACGTGCAGAGTCGTTCTTCACACTGAGCACCTGTGTGATGCACGACTCAACCTGTTCTTTGGTACAAGCCCCAACTTCTGTACACACTCGCCTGAAAAGAGCTTTCAACAAACCACCATGCCTCTCTACTCGGCCCAATGATTCCGGGCTCTCAAGGGGCACATGGTGCACTTGAATGTTGTGTTCATCCATGTACTGTTGTAAGACACCACGATTGTGCAAACCACGGTCACACATGATAGCAACAGGATGTCCTGCCCAACTGAACCAACGTTTGATAAGTGCGTCCAAACAGGATCGCGAAGAAGCTTGGCCTGCTCCAACCTTCACAATTTCAGCCTGTTGAAAACAAGTGCCAATACAAACCATGTTGAGAACTTGATACTTCTGCCCAGTTATATCTGTCAACTCCAGTACATCAATCCCCAAAGTATGGTTGAATGTATAATCACTTGGAAGCGTAACTTTGTGAGTGGGTTTCTTTGCTGATGTTTTCTCACATGTTTCACATCTATGCAACTTCACTGCATCAACAAACTCCTTACTCACCTTTGCAGCACGCACCAAATTGACCATCACCGTCTTGGGGACATGTCCAAAAGCCCTGTGCAACCTACGCACAGCAATCCTGACACGCTGGGGAAGTTTGCGCCAAGACCTACGCCTTTCTGTTTCATCCTCTGGCAATCCAGGGATATCAACATCATCCAAAAGGGTCTCTTCATGTGTCAGGTCCTCAACTGGATCCTGCAATGCAACATCTTCTGGGCCATCGACTGCATCCCAGTTCCCATCATGTTCCTGAGCCTCTTCGATGATCTCTGCTGGAAAGGCAACGCTCATCTGCTCCTCCAATTCACGTTCAAGTGACCAATCACGAATCCATTGACAAAACTCCCAATTCAAAACGTCATCCAATTGTCGATACATAGACCAGTCTTGAAAACCTTGAATGAGTTCATCATCATTTGACACAAAAGCAAGACCAACTTCATTGATGTATGGTATCTGTGGTGTTTTGAATGATTCCCATCGTTCAGTGTGTGCGACATCAACAATGAGAAACCTACACCCTGTGGCATCACAATACTGTTCCAACTCAAATACAAGATCCCCATGACACAGTGGATAATGTTCTGACTTGTATTCAATTGCAACAATGACCAATGTGCAACCTTCGAACATGTCTTTCCAACCGTGTTGCTCAGCATCACCGTCCAAGTACGCAGCATTCATGCCAACGTCATAGGTGTGCTCGAAAAAATCCTGGAAAAGAGTCGGATGCGACGTGATGACTGCAACCCCTGAAGTACCATTGGAAACTTGAGGCTGCATCCCAAGACTGGACTGCATCACACGATCATGGTTGTTGAGATTGTTGATACCTTCCAACACCATCTTTCTGTGTTTCTTGCTCATGGTCCTCCTCTCACCAGGATGGACTGTCAAATCAACGTTGGAATCAAAACGCACGGCCATGAAACCAGTGGGAGAATACTCATAGTCATATTCATAAGAATCGGAATCATCCTGTTCCAACTTGGGCGTCAAGACCTTTGGCTGGGGCTTCGACTTCACTGCATACATTCTTTTGGGTTCTG